GGATAAAAAATATATATCTAGATTAGCAGTTTCGATTTAAAAAGAAACTTCTTTTAAGTCTTCTAAACGACATTAATCCTGAATAAATCCATAGATGGCATATAAGTTTTCTTTGCAACTTTTTTTCGAAAAATTTCAATACGGTAACAAAACATTATTTTGAGGTATATGCAAAAATACACAGTTGATGTATAAACATTCCACTGCGCCTGTATCTATTTTAGTCAGTCGATGTATGGACACTCTACCGCACTTGTCCCTATTTAAATCAGCCGATGTGTGCACATTCATTTAAAATTGAATTTATTCATTAATGAAATATTGACTTAAATTTAAATACATAACAATTTTGTTTTAGGAAATTTACTGGCATAAACTTTAAACAAATTAACTTAAGTTTTGGCAAAAGGATAATATAAAAAATAAATGGAGTGGATTTGGTTTTTTCCTTGTTTGCCTTATAATTAGAATCATTTTGGCTTACATGTTAACATAACTTGCATTAGATTAAACATTTTATTGTTTTCACCGGATTATTTCACTGCACACAAATTCGAATTAGAAATTAATCACGCATGTTTTCCAAGTTAAAACTAACTACCTCACTTGTCTTTCATCACATACACATCTTATATATTTTGTATTAACTGGTTATTCATACACATGCAGCAATCATGCTGCTTTAGTGTTCGAGATACCCAAGATAAAAGGTAATTTCTTTTCTATTTTTTAGTTTGTTTTTGGCTATATTTCTCAATACATATAATAAAAGTTTAAAACATCTTCTAATTAATAAGTTTGTTTTATTCAGTATTATTTCTATACACAGAATACAAGTTTGAAACACCTCTTATAAGAGGTGTTTTAAATTCATAAACCAATTAGTTTATGAGTTTGTTTTAACAGTATTATTTCCATCCATTTTATAAATATTTTCATCTATGCGCATCAATATATAATTTTAGTGGTTCCATTTTACCATGTACCACCATCTTTTATCATATGTATACCAATTATATGTTTAGGTTTTAAGCTTGTCTCTTGCGCTAATTTTGTATAATTTTTTCTTAAAAGCATATAAGAGTTTCGTTTTAATGGGAAAATGATATGGTATTTTGCTCTGAGTTATGTGTCCTTTTAGTGTTGCAATATATATCTAGGTTGCAACAAGAAAAGTTTTAGTGTTTAAATAAGACTTAACGTAGAATTTATGATAAGACTCCAACAGGAGTTTTAGAAGTTGTTTTAGAAATTAAACATTCAAAACGTCAATATACCAGAGTAAAAAACCCCTCAAAAGGATCACTCTGGTATTAACACTACATAATTTATTTGCTTTCAATGATTTGCTTTTAATTGTATTTAAGTTATGCGCAAGTTCTTATATATAATGTTAACTTAATTGTGCAATTGTCTGCTCGTAGTTTATATACTGTTTTTGTTTTAATTTTTTGTTTTGGTTTTTTTGTTACTTTGTTATTGTTTATCAATTATTTCCACATTTTTTTATTGTGTAGTTATTGTGAATTGTAATCTCATTTTGTTTATTGCTTGATTGCACACATTTTTCCAAATTTTTAACTAAAGTTCCTATTAATTTAGTTTATTGTAAACTATTTTCTTACAAAAATCATTTTGCTCAAATTTCGCATACTTGTAATACTTAATTATTTTAATAATATTAGTTAACTAATAATTTGTTTTATTTTTTATTTATTTATGTGCTGTAATTCAAACTACTATTTTTAAAGTTAAACTATTAAATATGAAAATTTAAAAATAGTTAATTTTTTAAAATAACACACAAAATAATAGTTAATTAACTTTGGCAAATTTGTTATAGATGTATATTTTAATAGAGTTTGCTGACAATTCTATAGCCTTTGCTTTACTAGAATCAGATGAAGTGGACCGAAACAGTGTCCACATGGTTGCATTTACTGATTTAAAATATACAAAAATACAATATATGCTGAAGAATAAATTTCCAGCGCTAACAAAGTAGGAAACTGCTCCATGCAAAGTTTTATCTTTTAGTATCTCTCAAAAATATTTACAAACACAGCAAAACATACTCAGAAACTGGAAATTTACTTTCAACAAACTATGAAAATGGACAAACTTGCAGACAACCTCTGTACCTTTCGAACAAGGAATACAAAAAAATGACAGAAAAAAGAGTCAAAATTGACTTGAGAAAATTAAGGTGGCTTAGCATCACCACCAACTGCACCAACAACACTGAAAACACAACTTCTTCATTCACTTCCAACTACACCAGCATCATTACTTTCAGCATCATCACAACCTTCTTCTTTGTTTTTATCACACCTGTGTCCACCTCGCCCAACACTGCATATATTTTTAATTATCAGTATCAGATTTTATTTTCAAGAAATATTCACTAGCCTCATTCATATTAAGGACACCCAAAAAACTCTCATGGGCATGGTGGTCTGTCTAAGCAACACCAAATCTGCTATTAATGCGCTTGTGGAAGCTTTAAAATCTAGCACAACAGCAGACAAGCTGAATAGCCACCTGACTTATTGGCTGGAATTAAATGATTGTGAATGTCAATCATTGGTAATTTTAATTTAAAATAATCTTTATTTAAAGTTATAGTTCTGGCTAAATGTATGCAGTTAGTTTTTTTCTATTTCCAATTTAAACTAATATTGTACACATGTATTTAAATTGATTACTTAATAAGATTATTTCTTTGTCCAATGCCACACTTGCATCACAAAATCTGTCTGGCAAGCTTGCTAATATGTTGTTGACCCTGGCACCCAGCTCAGTTTTGTCTTTATATAGCTGGGATGGGAAAAGAAGGAAAAGGAGTATTAGCCCAAGTATTCTTCTGATCATAATAGGTGAAAGTGTTTTCTATAAGTATAAACTACCCATGCTGTATTTCTTTAATTAATTTGCCAAAAAAAGTCATACTGTTTTGCTAATGTGATTTCAATAATTGTATAATTGTATATATAATTTATTTTTATATTTTATAGATTCTATTCTTTTATAGATATATTAATATTAATAATTCTTTTCTTTTATAGATATAGATTTTATTTTTATATTTTGATTGCAGCTATAATAGCAAAAACGCAGCTATAATAGCAAAAACGCGTTAATGCCCATAAGATGGCAAAGGTGCTCTGGGATCAATTAAAATGAATCCCAATGCATGCAAAAAGGGCAGCAGTCAAGGCAAAAGCCAGACTAATAGGCATACCTAGTCAAGCACCAAAGAAGGCTAAAATACTTGCATCTATTGATACTGAAAATACTGAATCTATTGATAATGATAATTCTGATGATATTTTGTTTACCAAAGACAGTAATTAGATGAAAAATGTACACAGATTATATTATTATTATGTTACTTATTTTCTTTGTTATAATTAATTTCTGAATTAAAAGCTTTTTTCTGGTTGTCATCAATAAATATTATACAAAATTTGATATATATATATATATATATATATATATATATATATATATATATATATATATATATATATATATATATATATGTTTATATCATGCCCGTTTTGTGATAAAGATGGGGGGGGGGGGGGAAGGGGGTTATCAGGTGCAATCAACTCTTTTTGTTTCTAAATTTTGTTTTTTAAACAAGTCATATGTAAAATTGAGAAAATTTTTTAGCAGCTTTTGATGTGAAATGTGCTAATAGAGTTTTTGGAATATCAAGCCATGCAGGTAAAAAAGCTTTCTTACTTACTTGTATTTGGTGTGAAGGAGAAGTGAAGTTTGTGGTAAACTGTGAACACTTGGAAGCCTTGATTAGTGATATCAATGATACACTGTAGAAAATAGTTTAAAGAAATCCAATATGAAACATTTTGTGAACGTGGTATATCCAAGAATTCTCTACCTCAGCGAAGATCCAGATACACTAATCCAACATTTAGTACCTTCCCTGAATTACATATCCTGATAGGAATAGTAACAACACTGGGATGTGTATTATTGGATCTTTGGCCAGGTTTTGATTATTTTTTGAAAAAAAGTGGTGTCCTACAGAAAGGATATCAAGGTAGAGGTTGGGATGGGAATAATTCAAACCAGATACTAAAGTGTGTTGATAAGTTAGAAAGAGTTGTTTTGTATGAATATCCTGATCTTCTGCCAATTGTTTAATGTTTAAAAGACTTTAAGATTGTAAACTTGTTTTGGTAGAACACTTGAGCTTGGTTATCAGCAGACCATTCTAAAATTTAAGTATTACTTTTTATCTCCTCAAGAAATTGCAGATATTCTTGGAAAAAAACTTTCTATTAGTTGGAAAGTAGATATACTCTTGTGTCATTTTCAACCTTTTGTTGAATACCACAAATGTGGTTTATCTAAGTTTGGTGAACAATGCAAAGAATCAGTTCACTCAAAATTCAAACCAATGTGGAACAGGTTCAAACGACAAGTTGCAAACAAAGAATATGGTGGAAGATTCATCTCTTCTGTGATTGACTTTAACGGAAGAAGAATTAGTAATATTTATGTTCCATATGTCAGTAGTATTTGTAAATATTAGTCATTTTGTTGTTTTAAATTTTATTCAATTCATTTAAATAAATTAAAAAAAAAAAGATTGATAAATAAATAAAAAAATAAGAGTTTTATATTTATTAGATACTTGGGTACTGATATTTGGTATAGATATTTGGGTACTGTACCTAACTAATGAAATATAATAGTTTTTTAATAATTTTGCAAATCTAAACATCTGAAATGAATTCAGAGAGAAAAAAAAAATTAAAAGTAAAAAAAAAATCTTAAACATTTTGCACGTAATGTAACGAATCTTGTTTATGTTACAATATCTAATGTAACATTAAAATATTATAGGGAATAGTAGACATGCTGCACAAATTAAAAAGTTTCAAAAGTGAACTGATAAGTGAACACATTAAAGCACACTTTTAAATGTTGTAACAAATATTAATTCTTTTGATACATAGATTCCATCATACCTTATCTAGATTTTTTGTGGTCCAAAACTCATTTTTTGCATACTCTAAAAAAACTTTGTTTGGAGAGAGAGTAGTACCATCAACCTGTTTAGAAATATATATCATACAAACATATTTGGTTATTATATTTAAATATATAAAAAGTGACATTCTACAATATATAATAGAAATCTCAAACTACTTTATTTATAACTATATTTATTTTATGTTTTTATATTTTTATACAAAAAATATAAAAACATAAAATAAATATATTACAAAAAATTTTACATAAATATTTTATTCATTTCAAAATGTACAAACAATTTTCTTTTTTAATTTTATAACTTTTTTTTTTAATACTACATTAACTTTTATTGAAAAATGTTAAACAAATTGAATATAAGGAACACACCTGAACTATTTTAGCAGCGATCTTAGAAAGAAGATGCACATTATTTTCTTTAACATGATGTTTAATAACATCAAGAGGAGATCCGCTGTGAACAAGATTCCTATAGTTAATTGCTAAACCAGCAGCTTTTATTTTCTTTAACAACTTGACATGATCATTAAGAGTTAAATTTCCCTAAAATTTTGATTTTTGGTTTATTATAATCCAAAAACAAATATAAATACAAACAACCATAAATAAACTGCAACAACGAACTTATCAAAAAAACAAAACAAATTTAAATACAAACAACCAAAAATAAACTGCAACAACAAACTTATCAAAAACAAAACAAATTTAAATACAAACAACCACAAATAAACTGCAACAACAAACTTATCGAAAAAACAAAACAAATTTAAATACAAACAACCACAAATAAACTGCAACAACAAACTATCAAAAAAACAAAACAAATTTAAATACAAACAACCACAAATAAACTGCAACAACAAACTTATCAAAAAAACAAAACAAATTTAAATAATACAATCCACCACATAAACCAAAGCATTAAACTGAAAAAACAAACAAACAAAAAAGATCAAAAACCACAACACATACGGAAACAAAAACAAGAACAAAATTTTCTAATAATAAAAGTTTATTGGCCATACTTCTAAAACTTGTGCTGGACTTGTGCAGTTTAAAGCAAACACATAAAACAAAAGCAGCTTATTGTGATCCGAACCATCAATTTCAGGGTAAATGTATTTTTGAAAACGAACCAAAACATCTTCATTGTGACCCTTCAGTACTTCTTCAACGTCCCATTTGTTTAATAAATCTCGTATTGCTTTTGGCTTGAGTCTTAAAAATTGAAAAATATGCTTTATAAAAAAATAAAAATATAAAAAAATTATTTTTCTATAAAAATAGAGTAATATAAAAACTTTTCTTTAGTTTTTTAAACTTTATTCTAAATTTTTTTATCTATCTCATGAAATTTTTATAATTTTGATTAGGAAGATTTCTTTAATTCTTATTGTTTCACAGTGTAAGCTATTAAAGTTCCACCACTTATATGGAACCATCAGGCCATAATAGTCTTAAGAGAGGAAGAAATAACTTATATAAGTGCAAGGAAGTGCTAGAAATATTATAATATTTGGACAGATGTTCAGTGTTGAAAGATGGTGTTTGAAAGAGGAGTATTATTCAGTGATTAAATTAGAGTTAAGTGTTGTTTAAGTTAAATTTAAGTAAGTGTTCTTTCAGTGTTCTGTAAGTTGAGTTTTTGTGTTTTGTATTTGTAGTGTTCTAAATGTTAAAGTTTTTTATGTCATTTAATGTCTTTACTTATATGAATCTGTGTGTTTGTAAATACTTTTGTGTTGAATGCATTCAACCTCCAGACGCTAGAATATCTGCATTCCTTTCAGGAATCTTCAAACAATTCAATTTTTTTTTACTTAAAATTTTTTCACTAATTATGTACTTTCATAACAAACATATGTACATTAAATCATGATTAAATCTGCATTTCCATGACAACCACATATACAAACAATGAATAAATGATCAAATAATTTATTGTAAAGATTTTATCAAAAATAAAAAGTTCCGATCAAAAAACATTTTTCTAGATAAAAAACTTTTACCAAGTAATTTTAAAGAAAGGCAAAAAATAATGTAAAAATAATAAACAAGTAGTTCAAGTAATAAACAAAGGTTTTTAGCTTACTTTAGCATGTGATTATTTTTATTATTATTCATTTTTATTATTATTTTCTATTACATGCGAACATTAATATTATTTCAGTTTATAATATAAAAATGGGTTAAACAAGTTTAGTATGATTGTAAAGTTAATTATTTGTGTAATTTCATCTAATTAACAAATCCTATGAGATTTTTTGCAAAATATGAGATGAAAAAAGTTTCTAACTTTTCAAACCAGGGCTTTAGCTGAAATCCTGAAACAAATTTAAAGTTTTAACTTTTTAGCAATTTTGAGCAAGCATAGACATAGAACAACAGCAGTGTAAGATTTGTTGTTTAAGTTTTTTTTTTATTTCTAGTAATAATAAAAAGTTATAATATAATAAAATACAATTTTTTGTTGTTGTTGTTGAGATATTGAGTCTTATACTTTACTAGCAATTCATTAAAGAAACATATTTGAGATATCCAAGAAAATCATGCTAATTGTCATCATGGAGATATCCAAGAAAATCATGCTAATAGTCATCTTTGAGATATCCAAGGAAATCAAGCTAACAGTCATCTTAGATTTCAAAGATATCAAAACTTGAAAATCCATCATATTTAATTTCAAGAACCACTGAAAATTGGATATGGTATAAAATGCAACAAAATAATAAAAAGTAAAAATAAGAATTAATTTAAGTAAAATAACTAAATTTAAATGAATCACTTAAGTAGACTTCTTGACTCTTACAAACAGTGACTAACTCAGCCTAATGACATAGCCACAAACTGTGGCTGACTCAGCCTTATGACATAGCCACAAACTGTATCTGACTCAGCCTTGACAGCCTTAAAGCTACAAACTGTGGCCAAAATTAAAATTTACAAATGAATAACATTAAATGTTTAATAAAAAAAAAGTTTGATTGAGCTGTGCATATAAACATAAGTTTGTGTTGCTAATGAGTGCTAATAAGTGCAAATTAAAACTGGCTAATGATCGAATTGATAGATTGCTAAAAGAAATTAATACATTAAAGAATTCTTGTGAAGTTTTAAAAAAGGAAAACGAAAACTGAAATACCGATCTTAAAAAAACAAATAAGCAGATGATAAAGTATGAAAAAATACAAAAAGACATTGAAGAAAGTCTAACATTCTATCAGGATTGCCATGATAAAAAAGTCAGCAATTTGGAAAAAAAATTGATAAATGATAAAAAAGTTAGTGATGTGGAAAAAAAAAATGGTCGAATGCAACGATAGGGGAGAATGAAAAAAATAGATTTAGACAACTAGAAGATCGTCAAAGGAGAAACAATCTTCGAATCGAAGGAGTCAAAGAAAATGATAACGAAAACTGGGATGATACGGAAGTAAAAATAATAAACCTTCTTGAAAATAACCTCAATGTAAAAGATGTAATCATAGAAAGAGCGCACAGAACTGGTACTATCGATAATAAAAAGCCTAGAACAATTGTAATTAAGTTACTAAATTATAAAGACAAAGTAAAGATTTTAAAAAACGCCAACAAACTAAAAGGTTCTGGAATTTATATTAACGAGGATTTTTCGCTCGAAACTACTATAATAAGAAAGAAACTTCTTGAAGAAAGCAAAACGCATAGGATAAACGGTAAATATTCTGTTGTTATATATGATAAGCTCATTGTTAAATAATTTAGAAAAAAAAATCATGTTAAATGATTTTTTTTTTTTTAATTTATTTTGATTTATTTTTTATTTAAAATGGCTGATAATATTATTTTATTAAACATAAATTTTAATTCACAGAAAAAGCCAATAATTTTAAACAACTATTCGGATCCCGATTATAATTTTTTTAACGATAGTCAAGTAATTAAAAATACTAGCCCGATATACTATAACCCAAATTCAAAAAATATTGATAAAGGAATGGAAGATAATTCGTTTTCAATGCTTCACATTAATATTAGAAGCATTCAAAAAAATTTTGAGTCATTGAAACAATTTTTACATAAAATTGACATTAGATTTCAGGTAATTTGTCTCAGCGAGACATGGTGTCACGATGTAAACATTGAAAACAATTCCAATTTTCAATTACCTAATTATAAAGTAATTCATCAAGTTAGAGTATCAAATAAGGAAGGTGGAGGTTTGTGTATATACATAAAAAATTCAATTTTATTCAAAAGGAAACCACAGTTAAGTTCAACCTCTAATGAATATGAATCTTTATGTGTTGAAATTATTAATAAAACTTCAAGAAATATCGTCATCCATGCTTTATATAGACCGCCCTCAGGAAGTATTAAGGCATTTGAAAATCACATTAAAAGTATAATTTAAAAAAAATCATCTTTAAATAAATCAGTTTATATTGTTGGTGACATTAATCTTAATATATAAGAATACGACAAAAATAAAAACATTAAGAACTTCTTTAACACAATTTTTCAAAATAGTTATATTCCCCTAATCAATAAACCAACGCAAGTAACTAGAGTGCAACATCTTTAGATCAAATTATTACAAATGATTTCGTAAATATTAAAATAAGGACAGGTATATTTAAATCTGACATTTCTGATCACTTCCCTATTTTTATTCTATCGCAAAAATGCATCGACTATGATGCTCTTAGTGATAGAAAAAAATTAATTACAACACGGTTAATAAACGACGCTTCCATCAAAAATAAAATTCATAAACTTCTTACTGGTGTCAACTGGGACACCCTACAACTAAATCTAAATGCCGATAAAGCATATGATATCTTTTTAACTGAATTTCTTAATCATTATAATAAAGCCTTCCCCGAAGTTACTAAAGTTATCAAAACAAAAACACTTTTAAACCCTTGGATCACGAGGGGCATTCTTAAATCCTCAAAAAAAAAAACAACGTTTATATAACAAGTTTCTTAAAAAAAAAACTCTTAAAAATGAAACTAATTACAAAACCTATAAAGGGCTATATGAATCAGTTTTAAAACGCTCAAAGAAACATTACTAATCGGAACAATTTTTTAAACACAAAAATGATTCGAAAAAAACGTGGCAAATTATAAAGGAGGTAATCGGTAAAAAACGTTTATACGGTAATTTACTTCCGAAAAATCTTAAAGTTAATAACAATTGTATTGTAAATAAATTCTTAGTGGCTGAAACACTTAATCAGTTTTTTGTAAATATAGGTCCTATTTTATCATCAAATATAGCAACTTCTCAAATACACTTATGTAACCTCAAACAACATTAGTGTTATGTCTAATCCTAAACTTACGGAAAATGAATTATTAGACGCAGTCTCTTTGTTAAAGCCCAAAAAAAGTGTAGGTTTTGATTCTATAAGTAGTAATGTCATTATTAAATCGATAAAATACATTACAATTCCATTATTACATATTTTTAATTTATCTTTAAAACATGATGTTTTTCCAGAAAACCTAAAAATTGCAAAAATCATTCCAATTTTAAAATCAGGCGATCCTTCTGAAGTTGCAAATTATCGTCCAATCTCAATTCTTAATTGTTTTTCTAAAATATTAGAGCGAGTTATGTATAATAGGCTTTATTCTTTTTTAAATGTAAATAATATTCTTTACCATAAACAATTTGGATTCAAATCTGGCCATTCCACCCATCATGCAATCATTCACCTTGTTCAGGACATATTTAAATCGTTTGATGAAGGCAAGTATACCCTAGGTCTTTTTATCGATTTAAGTAAAGCTTTCGATACAGTCAATCATCAAATCCTGCTATCGAAACTCAAAAGTTATGGTATAAAAAATACTAACTTGTCCTGGTTCGAGAGTTATTTGACCAATAGGAAGCAGTATATAGTTTATGATGAAGGAAAAACTAATTATAAGACAATTAAATGTGGTGTTCCTCAAGGATCAATTTTAGGGCCACTTCTATTTCTTGTTTATATAAACGATTTAAATAAATTTTCTAACATTTTAAATACAATTTTATTTGCAGATGATACCAGCTTGTTTTATTCCAATATAGATATCAATATATTATTCCAAAAATTAAACAAAGAACTAGACAAACTAACCGAATGGTTTAAATCAAACAAGTTATCTTTAAATATCACTAAAACAAAATACACTTTATTCCATCGCTTACATAAAAAATCAGATATTCCCTTAGAACTCCCAGACCTTTTTATTGACAATCAATTAATAAAGAAAGAGCAATCAATAAAGTTTTTAGGCGTGTTTCTAGACGAAAATGTAACCTGGAGGGAACACATAGGTGTAGTTGAAGATAAAATATCAAAAAATTTAGGTATAATGTACAGAGCAAAGCAGTTATCTTTATCGATCTTGTTTAAAAAACGTTTACTTTTCTTTTATTCATTGCTACTTAAGTTATGCGAACATTGCTTGGTGTAGCACTAACACGACGAAAATAAAAAAATTGCTTAGCAAGCAAAAACAGGCTATAAGGATAATTTCAAACGTAGATCGTTTTTCACACACACAAACACTTTTTAATGAACTCAATATCCTAAATGTATATAAACTAAACCTCTATCAAGTTCTTATTTTTTTAATTTTCAATGAGTGGCATAGAGGTCATTTTTATATGTAAAAATTTTCATTTTTCATTATTTTTTGTGTCGATTATTCCAAGTTACTTTTTGTGATTTTTGACTAAATTTAGAACAATTTCCAAGGATTGGCGCAAATAGATTCTGATGTCAAATCCAGTTAATTTTTTCAATCATATTTTCTTAATGTGTTCCTGTACAAAAAAAAAACTGTGCTTTTCAATTTAAAAAAGAAATAGTACTTATCTTTCACTGAGTATGATAGATAAATTAAGGCAGGCTATAGTAAAGTGATTTTTTGTTGATCTTTGAGCTAATTTTTAGTCATGTGACAAACTTTATTATTTTCACCTCATTTTGTTATCTTATAATGTTTTTTTCAAAAACACTGCTATTGGAACCTTAGATTGACCAAATCCATAACGGTTAGCTTAAATAACTCATAGCCAATAGTGAAGTAAGTTATTGCTGAAGCTTCTTGTTTCCACTCTTCTTCAGTTTTAAATATTTTTTATAAGAACTCTTTATTTGAAGTAGCTTCTGAAGCTTCTCCAAGCTCATCACAGGCTCTACATTATCTTGGATAAATTTTACTGTAAGCACAGGAAAATTAAACTTTTTATTACAAAATATTTTTCTTAAAATAAGATATATGCTTCTTATTTTAAGAAATAAATATATCCCACCCTTCAATTTATTTCTAAAAACAAAAAATATATTTCTTGTTTTAAGAAATAAATTTCGCAAACTATGGTCAATAGATTTACAATTTTGCTGTGAGTTCTGATGAGTTGTTAGCAACTTTAAAATTCATTATATCCAAAAAGTCTGAGGGAGTTTCATCTGTAGTCATTTTTTTATACTATGACCTAGAATATCAAAAATAAACCTATAGTCTGGTAAAATACAAAACTTAAATCCTATTGGCTGGTCTTTATCAACAAAAACTGCCTTCAGAAGGATTTTAGCTTTGGTTCTATCCATTTTTGCATCTTTTTGGAACTCCCTTTAGGTTGAATAAAGAACTTTTACCATTCCTATGTAGTGATCTCTATCAGAAGATGCTAACGCCGCACCACGGTTAACGGATCCAAACACTTTGTATGGTTACTATGATTTAAATTTCACCTCTGCAACAGGCTCATATTCAATATATTGGCACATCTTAAAATAGTCTCGTTGATCTTAAAAGTGTAAATTAAAAATAAAACATATAAAATATAAAAAAAAGTGTATAAAATAAGGTTTAATATGACACTGCTAAAAACTTATTCCATTTAGTTTTAACAAGATAAAATCAAAGTGCAATTTCCATCAATTTCATTTCTATTACATTTCTACTGATTTTTAGGAAAATCCTGTCAGTGGAAAAAAAATTGCTTGAAAGTGATATTCTTTGTCTTTTACAACTGACTTTTGAATCTTTTTGTAAACCATTGCTTTAAAACTTTGTTACTTTAAAACTTTGTTACTTTTATTAAAAAAATTGTTACTTTTATGACATATATTATTCTTAAAGAATAAGACTAAAATATCAAAACTTATGAAAGTAACTTTTAAAAATTAAGAATCAGAAAAGTTGCAGGTCTAAAACCACCATGCCAAGGAGAGATTCATCCATTCTATTGATCTCCTTGAGCACTCTATCACTTAGATTAAGATCCTGATTTTGGGGAAACACAACTTGAACTTTATGCAGCAAAATGTGTTGGCCAGAAAAAAATTGCTTTCAGAATCTCAATATCTATAATTTTAAAGTTTAATTAGAAACCTATTTTAACCCTAAATTTTGTTATTGATTAAAAAGTATTTTAAAGTAATTTAATTTTATCTTTATGTTACTATTTTTCAACCTTTTATGGTCTGTCAGGTTCATGCAAATTTTGAGTGACCATAGAGCCGCCTTTTCCAAGCAGATGCCTTTAAAATTCTGGTGATTAAACTGCAACAGCTACATCTTATCTTTTGCATCAACACCATCCCAGTTCTAGTTCAGAGATTTATAGTCTATTCTTCATCTTTATAGTTTAATTTACAGCTACGGCTATATGAAGCTTTCTGATATGGTGGCATGAGGTTGAAAAAATGTTTGGCCATTAACCTTGCACAACCCCCTTTGAAATAGTCAGTGCTTGAATTGATTGAACTGTCTGAGATCAAAAGAATCTAACAAGTGTTTAATTGCTGTGTGACCTCAACAAATCGTGCTTAAAAACCAGGCTTTTTTAATTACAAAACGAAATTTTGCATATTTAAAATACCACTAGTTAATATATAATAACAATAAAATTGTGCACAATCGATGCGCATTTTTATTATTATTATATTTATTAACTAGTGGTATTTTAAAAATGCACAAATTCGTTATGAAATCAAAAAAACGTGATTTTTTTATCTATTAATAAATATAATTATTATATTTATTAATAGATAAAAAACCTTCCATTCTTTGTAATGACATCATGTTTTGTAAATTTATATTTGCGTCGATTGTTTAAAAATGCCCTTCAAAACTCAAAAAATGTAAAAAAGCTTAACTTGTGTGACACAAGTATAAATAGTCATCCAAAATAAAAAATAAAAAAATTTCATTAAGAAAACAATATCGTCGGAACATTTTATGATACTCTGTAAATTAAAATACGTTCATGAGGGTCAAAATGGGATGGGCTATTGCTTATGCATGTTTAACCTATAGATTAATGTTATTTATTATATTATTATAAATTACAATTTAAAAAAATGCATATATATATATATATATATATATATATATATATATATATATATATATATATATATATATATATATATATATATATATAAAATATTTTCATAAACAAAATATAAAAAAAAGTTGATTGAAAGTCAACAATAAACTAAATCTAAATACAATATAATACAAAAACTATTATAAAGTATATCAAAAAGATTTTAAAATTCTTAATATTAGTTTATCTAAAATAACATAACAAGTCTTACCCGCTATCAGTGAAAATATATTCAACAAAGGAAAGCATGACCTCCCAACGTTGTACATCATACTTTTGCGCTAACAATAAACAAATATTCATTTGCTCTTCATCAATGGTCCTGCAAAAAAAACAATGATAAAAACATGAAAAAAAAAATGCTTGAAAATAAAACCTTTATTATATAATTTTTACTCAAGTAAGAACAAGAAAAAAACAATAACACAATAACATAATAAATTGTAATATAAAAAAAAATAAAAATAAAAATATTTTTTTGTAGTAATTTGTTTAAATAAATACCTTAATAAAATATGTTATAAAGTATAAAAATGGAGATGATCCTTATATTTAAAGGTGTTTTTTTTTTCTTGTTCTTTAAACTTATATTTTTAAAATATTAAAGTAAATAAAACTTTTTATTAAACCCCCTATAAATGCCAAACTTTAAACAAACATCAAACCCAAATAAAAAAAACCAACAAAAATTTCCATCAAACTAAAAAAAATCTTCTTCTAAAAGAATAAAATTTAAAATTTTGGTAGTATTTATATCAGTTAAATATTATTAAAAGTATCAATAACATTAAATAAAAATGTTGATTTTTTTTTTTAAATTACATTGCCAGGCCAAGTATGGTTTCTTTTTTATAGTTATTATCCATTGTAAATCTTTCAACATCAACACCTAAATAAAGCAAAATTAAATAAAATTTAAATATATCTTTATAGGTAAGTTTAAAAAATGCAGGTTTATTATCAATTAAAATTAAAAATTATCAAAATTAAACAAATTTAATAATAAAACAAATAAAAATGACATATAACATGAAAATAAAAACACAACATTTGACTTGATTCTAATTTTGTATATTTAAATAAGCATTATTTTTAAATACTCAGGTATATATATCAGGTATAAACAACATATATTTTATTATATATATAATAATAAAAAGCATATACTAATAAAATAATAAACCATAAGAACTATTAAAAAAAATAAAATTATAGAAATAAAGAAAATAGTAAAAACATAGCTTATTATTGCATGGGGAAATAATTAGAAAACCATGTGTTTTAATAAAATGTCTGAAATAAAAATAAAAATATTTACCTTTTCCTAATTTATGCAACATTTGAGCTTGCAACATATCCAAAATGCTTGTTAAATTAGAAATAAGAAACTTTGAATAGTTATCATATAAAAAGCTTTCTTTTTTTCCCAGTTGTACAAGTGAGATACGTATTACTTCTAAAGGCTTTGCTTTATATATATTATCTATAGAATGCCCAGAAAGTTTATTATTTTCACTATAAAACTGAAGAGCATGACAATATGCAGCTATCAAAAATGCAAATAAGTTTTTTTTTATAGATTTGTACATGATCTCAATAGCATCAGCCTAAAAAAAAAACAACCATATATGTTTGTATGTGCGTATGTTTGTATATATATATATATATATATATATATATATATATATATATATATATATATATATATATATATATATATATATATATATATATATATGTATATATATATATATATATATGTTTATATACAGTGGAGTGCAGAATTATAACCTCACCTGTATAGAAACCTTAAAACTTATCTTTCAAAGTTTGTTGATCAAAATCTATTTGTAGATCATTTTTTGAAATAAACAAAATAATTTACATGAATCTATTTATACTTTAATTAACTCAAATTATAAAACCGTTTAAAACTGTGGTGCACAATTATAACCTCGTTATCTAAATTGCATCGAAAGCCATCAAAAAATAGTAGTAAATTCTGTTTCAAGTTAAATTTATTACATTTTCAAATTATAAAATACATTCTGACTAATGCCAAGAAGAACTACACTCTCTGATGAAGAAAAAGGCAAGATGGAAGCCTACTGGTCATTGCGCTTATCAAACAGGGCAATTGCTTGCAAACTGAGATGCTCATCACGCTTGATCAATAGTTTTGTAAATGATCCAACAAATTATTGCACAAAGCACCGAAGTGTTAGAAAACCTATACTTACAGCTCGCCAACAGAAACGAATTGAGCATGCCGCTAGTAACCATACAATTTCTGCTAGACAAATAGGCGCTGATTTGAGATTGAAATCTTCAAGATAGATGATGAATCATGTAATTAACAAGTCAGGCTTTCTTAGATATGCAAAAAAACGTACATCTCCAGCACTAACACATTTGTCTTCAATGGGCCAAGGACCATATGACTTGGGAAAAAGAATGGCAAAAAATTGTGTGGTCTAGTTGTCTTTAATTACTACTGGTATGACATTACAAAAAGAAAATATTTCAAAAAGAATATGAGAGACCGAGAAGTAATGATTTGGGGTGCGTTCAGTTATTTTTGAAAAACTTTGATTGGCTTTATTACTGCTAAAAGCTGATGGATATAGAAGTTTGTTGAATGGTCATTTGAATGATATTTTGCAAAAGCTTATTTACACCAATTTCATTTTCCAGCAAGATAATGCTCCAATCCATAGAGCAAAGTCAAATATCTCATGGTTTACCAGCAAGAAAATTCAATTATTAGAATGGCAAACACTCTCACCCAATTTAATTGCCATTAAAAACGTTTGGGGTATCTTAGCACGACGTGTTTATGTAGAAGGAAAACAATTTCTGATGTCAAAGAATTAAAAAAGGCAATTGTTCACGTTTGGTAGAACATATCTCTTGCAGATCTTAGAAAACATTTGGAAAGTATGCCAAATCGAATATTTGAAGTTATTCAGAATGGCGGCAATAAAACATAGTATTTTTAATAAATTCAAGTTGCAATACAAAACATTATGGATATTGTAGAGTAAAATTGAAATGAGATTATATTTTTACACCATCATTTTTCTAAAATTTTCAAATCAATTAACAAAATAAAACCAGACTCAAACTGCTTGCAAGCGTTTTGGTATTGAAAGTACTAGTTTCTGAATGAAATTAATGTCAATTCCAATCAAACGTCTTTCCCAATGACGTTTGATTGTTGTAAACATGTCATTTTTTGACTTTCTTTCGTTTTGAGGAATATTTCTATCCAAGTATTCCCATATATTTTTGATTATATTTAAATCTGGCAATTGAGCAGGCCAATCAAACTTGAAAATTTCATGATCAGCGAACCAATCTTTGACATTATTTGCTGTATGTTTTGGATCATTATCCTCCTGCCAGATAAAATTGTCCTAAATCCTTAATTTTACCGCAGAAGCAAAGATATTTTGCTGTACAATGTTGAGATTTCTTCTTTGATCATTTTACCATTGATCAACTCGATAATACCTGGGCCGTTCCATGAAATAGAACCCCACAGCATCACCGACCCACCACCAAACTTGACTGTAGGTATTGTATCTTACATTAAAAACATTTTTCCTCATTCTTTTTTCTGAAGACCATTCTTCTTCTCTTTGTTGATTGGAGTTCTAACTTGCATTCGTCTGTCCAAATTACAGATCTCCAGACTTCGAGTGGCAACTTTATATGCATTTTAGCAAACGCCAGCCTCTTTTTTCGATTATTTATAGAGATGAATGGTTTTTTTCGCATTGCTCTACCGTATAATCCAACATCATTGAGACATCTTCTAATTGTTTGAGGACTAATTTCCAAATTTAATTCATTTTCAAGTACTATTGAACTTATGTTTGGCATTTCAACCGATGTTCTAACAATCAGTCTATCATCTCTTGCAGTTGTCTTCCTTGGTCGACCTGATCTAATTAAATTTTCTGCCATTTTTTGCTGGTTCATTTGCTTAACGATCATTCTTACACTTTCCACACTCAATCCAAATATCTTTGCTACTTCTCTCAATGACTTTCCTTCTTCCTTAATTAAATGATAAATTTCAATCATGGTATCAAGTTTGACAGTGTACTATCTCAAAAAAGTTTATTTCGTCAATAGACTGTTCAAAACAAATAGTGACATTTAAAATGCTTATTTAAAATATTATTTAACTTAATTAAGCCATTACTCTGCTTATTTCATTAACTTACCGGTGATTATATATTAAAAAAACACTTGTCAACAGACTTTTTGCTATTTTTGTACTTTATAAAAAGTATATGTATCTCGAAGAGAATTTTGCAATATTTTCTTTTTGGTTTTTGATTGCAATACAGCAGTTTTTCACAAAATATACGCCTGTCAACTCACTTTTGAACCTCACTGTATATATACATAAAGATATATATATACATATAAACCTCATTAAAAAATAATAATAAAAAAGGAACTTACTTGCATGTGTAACATGTAACCAATAGACTGTAATGAATCTTTTGAAAATGTCAATTCTGCAAGATTATGCAAAGCTAAAACACACATAAAGACATGTTGAATGTTTTCTTCACTTCATTGAGAAAAACTTAACTGAATCTAAGCAATAACAACTCACTAAACTTCTGTCAATAAAAAAACCATTAATCATTAAAAAAGTTAAAAATCCAAAATTCTCTGGAAAGTTTATGAACACACCTTCAATACCACTTTGATTTTCACTTTTAGTGTTGTCACCACATTGAAGATTTAACATAAGGTTTCTCAGCATCAGACAATGATAAGAAGTTGTGTCATCTTTAATAAAATCAGGATACAGCTCATCCATCTGTGTTAAAAAATAAAATACTTTTATATATTACGACTAAACTGCAAATAACATGCACTTAACAAGTATACCCAACATGTCTATACTTTATACATCTAACATATCTCTGTTGGCCAAAAAAATATACTATAGTATGTATTAATATATAGTATGAAAAGTATTACATGAGTAAATGTAGATTTTACAATTCCTTCAAGGGAATAGTAAAAAGGATGTCTTAGAAACCCATCAACATCAATTAGATGACCAGGTTCATTTGAATACTCTGGCGACTGCTTTACCCAATTAAATGCTTTGCTTAACATATTGGTACTACCCATAGATTGAAGAAACTTTTTAGTTGCTTTTTTAGTGTGCTTTATGAGAGATTGGTTGTTCTAAATACATTAACTTATAAAATGAGAATGCAAACAGAAGATAATAAAAAAAAAACAACAAAATAGTTCAAATAAATATTTTTTAAAACGATCATTATCAATATTTTGAAAAAACTAAATGTCAAAAATAGAAGCATTTCCAAAACTAACAGATTGCATGGTGTCTTCAAAAACTTCATCATCCTCAGTTACTTGCAGATGCAGTTGCTCGCAGAGAACCTATGAAAAAATATTTTTTTTTAAATTTGTTTTCGGATTTTGAGTACTTCATATTTCATAAGTTATTAGTTTACTAATTTAGTTTACAAATACTCTTTGCAGATATGAGTATTCATGCATTCATATACCCATACATATGTTCATATATACAGTGTGGGGCATAATTATTTATACAATTCAAAAGAGAACTTTCAATTCAAGAAAAATCCTGGCCACACTTTTTGACAATGCTACATAGCACTAGCATGCACATCTTAGTGAAGATATTTTTGAACAATAGCACTCACACAAAAATGCTTTTCCACGGACTTTTTAATTATGTGGTTTTATTATGTACAAAATAAAATAAATAACATATTTAATCTCTTATATTGCCTAAATAATTATATCCCACCCTGTACATACATATTTACATAAAACATACATTTATATAATACATACATACACACATTAAATAATGAATACCTCTTTATCAATTTTAATTTTTTTCTTAAGAATATCTTCAATATGATACACTGGACAAAAAGTTAAAGCAAAGCTCATCAGTTTCAGTCTAAAAATATTTATTTTAGCTAAATATTAAATAAAAGAATTTTAGTGAAATAATAAAGTTGAAAAAACTTTTATGATATAAAAAAACAAATTTAAAATCTCACTTAAAACATTTGCAATCAACATTTTAAATCTCACTTAAAACATTTGCAATCAACATTATAAATCTCACTTAAAACATTTGCAATCAACATTATAAATCTCACTTAAAACATTTGCAATCAACATTATAAATCTCACTTAAAACATTTGCAATCAACATTATAAATCTCACTTAAAACATTTGCAATCAACATTATATATATTATATCTTTAGAATAAAGTTAAAATCAACATTACATCAATATTATATCTTTAGAATAAAGTTAATGCTTACTTTATTGGATTATTATTGAAAACAGTAGATTCACCAAGATCTCTAAATACAAAAAACATATGTATATATTTGATAATGTAAAAAAAAAAAATATTTAAGACTGGAAAAAGTTTATAAACTTTAAAAAGTTTGTATTTCAATTAATTAATTTCAAATATAATTTTGTATTTCAATTTTGAAATGTATTTCAACCAAAAATTTGCTTTTTATCAAAATTATAAAAAGTACCAAAACCGAAAATTCGGTTTTGGTATTTCTAACAAAAAATATTATATAATTTTTCTTACTATTTGCATACCGAATGTATGATCAAATCAGCAACCATAATAACAGGTCAGTACATATTCAGGTTGTTTACAAATAACAAAAAACATAATTAAGAAAATCAAAAGGACAATGACTTAAAACATGGTAAACTATTTACTTTCTTGCAATATGTAATAATCTTGCTAGAATATTGTGGTTAAAAAAAAAAATTACTAGGATGCCAAACTTTACCTAAGCAAAGTCAAACAGCACCTTCTACTTGATTGATCGATTTGATTATCTATGACTGATTAAGTACCCAATGAAAAAAAGGCTATGAAAAAATGGCTGCACTTTTTGAGTTCTAATAAAATGACCTATTATATAAATTAACCAGATGACCATATTACCCTCATGTACCTTACTAATGTTCTTAAGAAAACATATTTGTTATTACTGGCAAATATACCTGTTATTATTATTGTTTCACTTTTTTATTGTAATAATAAAACTAATATTAATTTTTATTACTATTATTATTATTTTTCACACGACATTCCCTTCTTAAACAAGACTTTAACACAAAAAAAATAAATAAAAAATAAAAGAAATTATTAGCATCAAATCCTCCAAACCTATTAAATCTGATATTCTCTAAAGTAATGGTAACACTATCACTAACAGTATAACTGTTGCTAATACATTCAACAACTACTTTAAAACTATACTATCTACACAACCCATTAGTAAAAATTCTTTTCTGACTATTTAAAAAATTTTAATTTTAATCCTTTCTTAATCTAGCGACTGAAAATGAGGGTTATGATTTAACAAAAAATACTCTGTGAAATGATAAAAGCTTAGGTCTAAACATGTGTCCTCACGCATCTTTTTAAATTTATTTTTCCAATGTGAACTTAAAAATAAGCATGGCAACAGGAAGGGGAGGCGGGGGAGGGGGGTTTCCATTATTATTATTGGTCTTTTAGTAACTTTTAATTAATTATCAAAATTAACAAAAGATGTCATATTTCTATCACAAACCAAGACATAAAATAATTTACTTCTTTATCTTAAACCACTTATCTTTTGGCCTATTTGTTGAAAAAATACTGTAAAAATAAAATGTTAGCCTCATTGTGATTATTGTTATTATTATTATTATTGCTATTGTTATTATTATATATGATGCAAATATTATTTACATTTTTATTACTGTCATTATTATTTATACTCATTGTTTAACATTTATCTGCGATATTTATCAATATTATTAATATTTTATCTCTATTACTACTATAATCATCATTATTAAATATTATTATTATCATTATATGATTGATATTATTATTTGTTTAGATTATTACCCATATTATTTGTAAATAAACATAAAGTATAATAACTTTTATTTCAGAATATTAATATGTATATTTTTTTTATAAAAGAACTCACTACACAGTATATTATATACAGTGTAGTAAGTTCTTTACAATGCTAAAAGACAAATGTGATAGCAAACAAAGAAAAAACAAACGATTACCTGATCACAGGTATCAAAAGAAAAGAAGGATTTATACTTAAGCCTACATTTTGAAATCTTGTTTCATTTATTTAACAGATTTTCATTTTTATATGTTGCAAATTTTTGATGAAGAGCCGTATAGATTGCAAAATTTCTAATTAAGGGTGTAAACATTTTGTCTTTTATGTCCACGAAAAAGACAACTCAGTATTGTTTTTATATTTATTAATGTTAAAAGACTTTAGCTGATTAATACCTGCTATTGTGTCAATTTTTGACACAATAGCATGTTTTTTCATCAGATTTTAATTGTGATTTTTTTTAGTAAGTTTATCTTATCTTAAAGTAAGAAGATTTTAGTTTTGATTTTTTTTTTTTAAACATTATCAAACAGTATGAGGATTCTAATCAGCTCAGATAAAGCCATAAAACTAATAAACACTCAATTAACCCTCTCCTCTCCTGTTATAATTGGAAGTTTACAATAAGATGTTAAAGTATTAACATCTTATTGTAAACTTCCTTTAGCAATATTCTTGTAAATTTAATAATTTAATTAAGTTTAAAAAATAACTTAGGTTTTTTTTTTAAAAGACTAATTCAATTATCAAAGTAATAATAAGTCAAAAAATTTCTATCATTTGCTAGAAAATATATAAATAAATAGGTTATATCAGGTATAAGTTTATATATCTTTAGTATGAAAAGACCAACAATGGCCAAATTATGGGTTTGGACAGCTAGTTATATATTAATGCTATATTTATATGTATATATTTGTTCTTTAATTAAATAATACTATATGGTTAAATTAATGAAAAAAATATATATTACTTGCAAATTTGCCATGCCTTGCTGTAACTGATATCTATTAAATGAAGACATTGTGTTGCACAAAAGGAAAAATCTTCAACATAAAAAGACGACTCTGCAATTTTAAGAGTAATTTTTCCATCTCTCTCGTGATGATCATCTCCACAAATCAGAAGTAAATTTCCAAGGGCTTGTAACTGTTTAAAAAAAAAGGCAAAAATCCTTATAAAATTTTGGTAAAAAAAAAAATGTTTGTGTATACTGTTTATGTTATATTAAAAACACATTCATAAAATTTTATAACAATTAGAATTTAATTCTTTCAGTATCACTGTAAAATAATAAAGAATATCCTAAAGTTAATTAAAATGTATCGCTGCTTTATCTTTAGAAAAAATATTTAATACTATAAAAGTTCAGACAAACAATTTCAAAAAAATTTCAATAACAAACCAAATTAGATTAAAATAGTCTTGTTAATCACATATAAGAAGCTTTTTATATTTAAACATATTTATCATGTAATCTTTAAATATATTATAGTTTGTAGATTTATTATTATTTGAAAATTGAAAAAAAAAAAGCAAAAAAAAAAAAAAAAAATAACAAAAAAAAAAAAAATGTAAATTAAACTAATAAAAACTAATTTGTTTTTATTTATCTTAATAAATATACTAAACTCAATTCAATAAACAACCTACACATCCTAAAAAACAACAAATATTAAAAAAAAAAAACAGGAAAAAATAAATCATTTGAAAGAATTTTTTTTTTTTTTTTTTATAAGATCTGCAATTTGCTTTACCCATGTTGACATTTTTTAAACAAAAAGTTAAATGCACTTGACCACTTTACCCTTGCCAACTAGCTACTGTGTTTCCTACTCTAGATTACCTAAATTTTGATTGTAAGCAACTGAGTGAATCAGCATGATTTTGACACTTGCTAAAACCAAAAAACCCACGACCTCTTGAATATTTTGTAGAGTCTGAGAAATATTCAGCAATTTTTAATCATGTTTTTTGGAATAATTGTCGATAAAATCACATATGAGCTAAATGATAATATCATTTGAGATTCCATTTGGAGTTTTGCTTTCCAAAAAAAAAAAAACGTTATCTATATAAGAGGATATTTTTAAAGCATGTCTGACTGTATTGAATGTTTTAAAGCATGTCTGACTGTATTGAATGTTTTAAAGCATGTTAGACTGTATTGAATGTTTTAAAGCATGTCTGACTGTATTGAATGTTTCAAATGAAGCAACATTATCTTTATAGGAATGATATTCCTAAAGCATGTCTGACTGTAATAAATTTTTTAAAGCATGTCTGACTGTAATAAATGTTTCAAAGCATGTCTGACTGTAATAAATGTTTTAAAACATGATCAATTGTAATGAATGTATTAAAGCATGTCTGACTGTAATTAATTATATCTCAGACTTTTTTGAACAGAGATAAATCTTTTAAAAAACTTATAGAAATCATGAGGAAAAATCTAAGAGCTAGTATAAATATTATTATTTGATTGTTATTTTATTGGTAATTCAATGCCAGTTTTTTTTTTTAAAAAGTGTTTATAGTCTATGAGCACAGCTATTCTAAAATATCTATTCATCTATATATAATAATATATTATCAAAAAATTTCTTAAGGTACCATGGTTAATTATTGAAAATCATTATGGACTAACTTTAAGGATTTTAAGAATGACTTTAGGAATTTTAATAAAATAATTTGAAGAACTCTATCACTAAGTGATCAACTACCATAGCAAAAATGCAAGCATTTTTATTAGCTCATTGTTTGAACAACAATATCATTTCAGTTTGAAGATTCCTGAGCAGAATATTGATAAAAAAAATCTGCTTACTGCAATCAAAAATTACAATATATTTATTGAAAAATAAATAACTTTTATTAATATATTTAGTATTTATTTTTAACAGCAAATTTAAATACTAATAAGTTAAACATAAACACACCAAAAAAAATAGTTTGATAACTTAATAACTTAAAACAGGGCCAACACTTCAAAAAATAAAGAAAAACTAACTAACAGATATTATAAAAAATATAACTAAAATTAAAAACAAAAACATAAAAAAAAAAATTAAAATACTTACTTCTAAAACTTTTTTATAACTTGTTTTACTTTTCTGTAAACAAAGATCAATCAACTCTATTCGATCAACGCATAGCCGAACTTTAATTTGAAAGAAAAAAAATTACACTAAATATAGCATTAATATACAAAGTATGCACCACTTGTAAACCACCAATACTTGAGTACACACAAGAATCAAATCTAATTAACATATAGCCAAACTTAAAATATACATAAATGTATGCATAACACAAACATATTTAATTATACATAATTTATTTATCACTAATATTTAATTATACCTAAAAACTCATACAACATCAATTTTCTATTTTAACTGTTTCGTAAAAAATAATTCTCACCCTGCAACGGAAGAATGGAAACTCCAAAATTATGCAGAATGATAGCAGCCTGAATTAGGTTTAGTTCAGCTTGTATACCTTCAGGGCAGTCCGAAATAAGAGAAAGACAAAACCTGAAGTATAATCGGAACAAATCATAAGAATAAAATAAAATTTACAAGTGTAAATAAGAAATTATATGAGGAGTAATTAATGATGATGAAAACAACGATGATGATGAAGATGAGGATATTGATGATGATAATGATACTTTTAAAAAATAATTTAGGGTTTTATAGTGAAATACATAATTATATAGAGAAACAACTTAGTTTTTTTGTTTGATTGTCATTTCTTAGCAATTTTTTTATTTTTTTTTTACCATAAAACTACCAGTCAAAGAAATGTAAATAAATCTCCAAATTTTATATGAAGTAATAATTTTTAATGATGCTTTTTATTTAGAAACATTCTAAAGTTTTAATTTAAAATTGAATTAAAAATGTGCTACAAATGCACTAAAAACTGTACTTCAAAAGACCATTTTGATATACTGGAAAAACAGCTTAACTGTGTGGTTCCATCACAAATATAAAATAATCCAAGAGATGTCAACACAATTGACCTAACTGGATTGATTTTAGATGCACTCACAATTAGAGCTTATAATGGTCCTTTTTAGAATGGTCTTTTTTGTAAAAAAAAAGTCTGCCTTTACCCGCTAAAATAACACTAGATTTTTTGTGTGTGTGAATAAAAACATATTTTAGGGGTGCCCAAGACTTCTGAACAAATAACGGGTCCCTAATATTATCAAAGGTGTTTCAAAAGTATGTCATGTTGAGTCTTGAATAAAGCAAAATTATATAAAAATTTAAAAAATTATTATTATTTTATAATAATAAAATTATTATTAAAAACAACAACAATAATATTAAAGAGCCGTTAAATGTTCAAGGGTTTTTAGGCACCCTCTTAAAATATTTTTTTATTTAAAGTTTTTTTACATCTAGTGTTATTTTATTATTTAGAACATTTTTAGTGAGTGGCAGGCTTTTCTAACAAAATTGTTTTTAAGGACTACCATATTGGAGCTCATGGTAAGGATGATAAAACTCTCAAGAAACTGTCAGAAAATGTTAAAAAGACTCTTGCTTGTAGGTCACAACTAAAAAATGGGATTTAAAGACATAACTCCTATTAAATATAAGATTTTAAAAAATGAAAAGTGTTTTAGAATGTTTTTTTACTTTAGTTTCGTTTCTGGGTAATTTCATTTCAATTAACCCAGGCCATGTCATCATGCAACTCATATTTTGCTGATTTTTATACAGTTGAGAGTATTTAGTAAAACAAGGATTCCTAAAATAAGAAAACTTTTACCTCTAGCTCTAAGAAGATCCAGAAATATGACCATTTTACTTTAAGCAGATATTGGCCAGGCTCCTCTTGTCCCCTCAGAATTGCAACATTTATTTAGAGGTTTTAAGTCATATAGCTTTAAAAATATTTGATCTTTATCCTTGAAAACTTATATCCTGTTATTTTCGGGGGTGACAAATCCAATAAATGATCAGAAATATAAAAAATTATTATTAAGTACATGTATTTATTAATTTAATTAAACTTTGGCAACTTTTAGTGCATCTGTTTTTAATGCCCAAGAAACTCATGTGGCATTGTTGATATCAAAAAAAAAATTTAAAACATATTTTCATTAATCTTTCAAAAAACATAAAGATTTTGATCTGCAAGTATATGGATTTCTAAATATGGAGATTGGGACACGGACCATACCTATTTTTAGCAAAATATTGTCATTGATTTTTCTCATCCAACTAGACTAGCTGGAACTCAAAAACTTTTAGAATTTTTAAACCGCTGATAATTGTGCATTTGAAAATTATTTCAAGAGCTCAAGACATTAGAGGAGGGAGGGCTGGGTCATGCGCTCCATATTTTTAGCAGAGTCTTGCAATAGATTTTTCACAACTTTTCAGACAAACTTGCTCTGAAAATTTCATCATTTGCGTAGTCCTGATGAACATGTTTTAAAATTTGTTCCAGGGCAGACTACCAGATATATATATATATATATATATATATATATATATATATATATATATATATATATATATATATATATATATATATATATATCTGGTATATATATATATATATATCTGGTATATATATATATATATATATATATATATATATATATATATATATATATATATATATATATATATATATATATATATATAGTAGAAAATAAAACTACCTGATTTTCACAACTTTAAGTTTCATGCTGTTACAATCATCATGTGAAATACAAATATAGTTTGTTCGTTTAAAAAATAATATACAATTGAAACTATACAGAAAAAACTTTTTTTTATTGTTACGACCGCGTGTATCTAATCTTCAGGCTTGTGGTTGCTTAATAGAAATTTATTTTTGTGACGACACTTGGAAATTAACTCTGTTTTTTTATTAAGTAGCTCTTTAGCATTTTTATAAAGTAAAATGATCAGTTTTTCATATAAACAAAGTAAACATTTTTTTGTTGTTTTGTTGTAGGCGGGGGCTTTTTTTAGGATAGACCAAGTTAATTCTGGTGTTTCTTTCAGTTTTTCCCTAGTTTTCCATATATGTTTTGAGAGAGTGGTTGCATTTGAAAGTTTCTTATTTGAAAATGATTGCTTGTGGTTTGCATACCTTTTTTTCCACACTCCTTCTGATAAACCAATGTATGCTTTGCTGGGTGTGTTTGGGGAAGATGTTATACATTTGTAAATGATGTTTGTTGCTCTAAAATTTTTATTCAGCAGGCAGATTTCTTTTTGTTTGTAATTGCAAGGGAGATTTTCAGTGATGTTAATTAAATTTATTTTTTTGTTGTGGCTTTTTTATGATTTTTGAAATGTTGTTTGAGCAGCTGTAGCTAATTTTTGTAGTGTTTCGATTGATTAGTTTATGCAATGGGTTTGAAGGTGGGAAATGTTTATCTTTTAATTGCAAAAAGATTTGGCCAACATTGGTGGAGACGCTTTTATTGTAGGGTGGGTTAAACTAAGTTATATTCCTTTTTCTATTGGGAAGTATCTTATTTTTTGGGTTGTACTTTAAGTTAAAGTTTTTAAAACCATTTTGTTTAAGTGCTTCTTTGTATTCTGTTTTTGATGCATTAAATATTTTTTTATTGGAAGAATTTTGCGATAGTCGATCATTAATGGAGAGAGGGATCTGCTTAAGAACTTGAGACGGGTGGTTTGATTCGGTGTGGATTTAGAGCAGTTGGTCATTTTGTTTTTTAAAAGGTTGGTAGGAGTTTTTTCAAAGATTTAAAGTTACGTCAAGAAAATTAACACTGTTTAGATTGGTTTGAATCTTTATTTGAAATCCGATCTTTTTAAATATCTCAATTATATTTTTTTGTGCATCACCATCGACCCACCATCTCCGTAAAGACATATATCATTTTTAGTAATGGTTTTGGATAAAGAGTCTAGAATGTATAAACCCACCAGTTCACATACTTCGGCTCCATCAAAACAACCCATTGTGACGTCAAAACAATCATTATATGCCTTTTTTATCCATGTTTCGTTTTAAAAAAATAATAATGATTTTCTGCTGGAATTTTTTCACTGCTGATTTCAGTGCGCAAAACAACACATGCACATTCAAATGCAACCACTCTCTCAAAACATATATAGAAAACTAGGGAAAAACTGAAAGAAACACCTGAATTAACTTGGTCTATCCTAAAAAAAGCCTCGCCTTCAACAATACAACAAAAAAATGTTTACTTTGTTTATATGAAAAACTGATCATTTTACTTTATAAAAATGCTGAAGAGCTACTTAATAAAAAAACAGAGTTAATTTCCAAGTGTCGTCACAAAAATAAATTTCTATTAAGCAACCACAAGCCTGAAGATTAGATACATGTGGTCATAACAATAAAAAAAGTTTTTTCAATATAGGTTTTTTCTGTATAGTTTCAATTGTATATTATTTTTTAAACGAACAAACTATATTTGTATTTCACCTGATGATTGCAACAGCATGAAACTTGAAGTTGTGAAAATCACGTAGTTTTATTTTCTACTATATATATATATATATATATATATATATATATATATATATATATATATATATATATATATATATATATATATATATATATATATATATATATATATAATAAAGGGTTTAGATATACAGCTTGCGGTAAAAAACAGCTCTTCACTTATCTAAGATATTTAGACTGGCAAAATTAAGGTTAGATTATAACAAATAGCATTAATTAAATATAATAAAGGGTTTAGATATACAGCTTGCGGTAAAAAACAGCTCTTCACTTATCTAAGATATTTAGACTGGCAAAATTAAGGTTAGATTATAACAAATAGCATTAATTAAATTAAGGAGACTAATTAAATTGTTTCTTTTAAAAAACTACAAAAACGCAAATTAAAATACCACAATGTTTTTAAAAATATTCTGAATGTTTTTAAAAACATTCTCAATGTTTTTATTTTAATTTTTTTACTGTAAAAATGTGCAGAATGTTGCTTGATTAACTCTCATAGCCTGACTTGCAACGAAGTGCTGCTACATCAACTATCTTATATATATATATATATATATATATATATATATATATATATATATATATATATATATATATATATATATATATATATATATATATATATATATATATATATATATATATATATATTATATATATATATAGTCTTGCATGGTAGTCAGAAAGTTGTTATCATAAACTGTAGTTTTAAAGAGCGCATTAATAAACCAGACCAGAAAAAGTTAAAACTTAAATAAATTTTTTTTTCATTAAATGATAAACTGCCTGTCCAAACCAAACCATCAGTGGATGTAGCAACACTCTGTTGCCAGTCAGGCTATAAGATGATCGATGTAGCAACACTCCCTTGTAGCAGCAGGCTATAAGACAGTCGATGTAGCAACACTCCGCGCTTGTTTTAAAAATACATTTTAATAAAACAATAACAAAAACACCACTAATTCAAAAAAACATTCTAGTCATTAAGCAAGAACAAATTTTGTCTCTTTTTTTCTTTCCAATTTAGTGTCACTTTCCAATCAGCTCTTTAACTAGATTAATGGCCCTATTGGACAAGTCATTGACCACATCATAGAATTTAATAGTAGATTTAAACACAAGATAAAAATTGTTGAACTTCCAGAACTGTGAAGGGAACTTAAGCCACTACAAATCACCCTCTATGTCCAATCTTATCAAAAATAAGCCAAGATTGCTAAATTACTAGAGAACAAAAAGATGAAGGCTTGTGCAAAGTCTAGAGAGTGAAAAAGCTATTTATTGAGCATTCCACGTTTAAGTGGACACGTTTATTTTGGCGAGAAGTGTATTATTCAATACTTTGACATAATCTTTTCTGTTTTGGCAACATTTATCTGCTAAAGCACACAAGACAGGATCAAGGTACCAGCTGTGTCTGTCACATGATTTTAATACTTAAAGTAGCTCCAAGAAGATTTATATCCATGAACCTCATCTGCAACAGAGCTTCCATATCCTATGCAATATTTTAACAATATTAGATTAAGTCATTAACCAAACAATTAACTAATTATTTTTTACACTGTTTTCTTATTTATAATTATTATTTTTAACATGATATGAGACAGCCGTTGGCAATACTGCTCTAAGAAGCCACTAAGTGTAAAAGATGCCAACAAATATAGTGATATCAAGAATCACTTCTATATTTTTTTCTGATAAATTTGGAATAGTTTCCAATACTAAATAAATTTTAAGGTAATAAAATGCTTTTGCCATGCATCTTGCATAATGCAATAGACCAGGAACCTATTATCTTTTACATCTCTATAGAACTGTTCAGCCTCAAGATGTTGTTTATTTATCCAAGTTCCTGTTTGAGTTTGAATCCTCATTAATGGAACTGTGTCAAGATCCTTGACACAGTTCCATTAATGGACCAGACATTTTATTATTGGATATATCATATTAAAGTGGGTAATATCATACCATATTGGTCTTTCCAAATATGGTATCTACAGGCAAAGAGAAGTAGTGGCCGCCCCAGCATATATGCTATTCTCATTATAACTCCTTGGCTTTCCAATGATGGAAGCAGTAATATCAAAGCTTTATTTGGTGATTAAGAAAATCTCAGTTATTGGAGCCTGGGAACTACCAAAACCCCAAAATTTGTGCCCCCAGCCCCAAATGTGAGGGCAATAAGTTACCGAGTTTAATGCTATTGTTATTCTAAACTAAATTTATATTCATTAACAGATTTCAAATTTCATTTAATAATATTTTTGCGTTTTACCATTTTTGGGGCTGGGGGGCACAAGTTTTAGGGATTTTGTAGATACCAGGCTCCAATCACTCCAGTTTTTTTTTGAAGCATCCTAATTTGATATAAATATAAACATACCCAAGTTTGAAGTTTGCTCCATGTCTGCAAGTTATCTATCTCAATCACCAAAAAAGTATATATATATATATATATATATATATATATATATATATATATATATATATATATATATATATATATATATATATATATATATATATATATATGTATATATATATATATATATATATATATATATATATATATATATATATATATATATATATATATATATATATATATATATATATATATATATATATATATATATATATAAAGGCTTAAATTAAGTAATCACAAATTTTGATATCTGGAAATGTTTCAGGTCTTTAAATTTTTAGCTTTTTAAAAATCATAACTCTATTTTGATCACTTAACTAAATAGCTGTTATTCAATAACAAATATTAATATTGATCTTGAATTATGATATAAAATCTGTTATGGTAAAACCATATTATTACTATTATTTTTATTATTATTAAAGCATATGATTTAAACTTTAATATTTTAATTCATTTTATAAAGCATAAGATAAAACTAGAAAAATAAAGCACGATAAAGTACGATATAATTACTAAAAAAGTTTAAAGGATTTTAGATGTGATTAAATATTTTAAATAAAAGAAATTGTGAAATAAGATATAAAAATACGTTTATATCTTATTCAATATTTTCTTTTAAATTAAATACTCGTAACTCTTTTGTAGATATGTATACAAGCATAAACAGAGGAGTTTAAAAATATATAAAAACTAATTTAAACTTTTTATAATTATTTTCAAACAAAACAAAAAAACTCTAATGACTTATTTTTAAATATATCTTTTTTAACATTATTACAATTAATTAAATTCTAATTTAAAAAATTTAAATTTTCAAATAATTCCTTAAAGTTTCCTGCTAAACAAAATTTTTTTAAGTTGTTTAAAAAAATGTTTCATTTGATCAACATTCGTTTAAATGAACAACAAGGGGCAAAAAAAATTTCAAAATTTCCAGTTTTATTATTAAACTAAACGTTTTGAAACTTTAGCAAAAATTTTATACAAGCGAAAATTTTATAAAATTTTTTTGTTTTGTCTAGTGCAATGGTTGTTTTAATTTTTTATCTTAAAGTCACGGTAGTAAAGTTTGATTGGTTTATCTAAAGTCACGGCTGCGAATATGATTGGTTTATTTTGAAAGTTTTATTTGTACAAATTTAAAAAGAATTGCAAATATGAATGTGTGTTTAGCATTGTGGTATCTCATTTATTAATATCACTAGGTGATCCGGGATTGAGTCCTACTTCCAGAAAAAAGTTTTTAAATTTTTTTTTTATTGAAAGTTATTATTATCATTGTATATTGAAAGTTACATTGATAAATATTATTTAAAAACATCAACTGATTTAGAGATAGGCGCAGTGAGTGTACATACATCCACTGATTTAGGAATAGGCCCAGTGAGTGTACATACATCCACTGATTTAGGTGTTTACATACATCTACTGATTTAGGGATAGGTGCAGTGAATGTACATGCATCGATTAAGGGTTTTGGTTTGGGCATGCATTCTTTAAATAAAAGAAGAAAAAAACCAACCAATCATAAATCACTACCGCGACTTTAAGAAAAAAATTAAAGCAACGATACCGTTGCACGAGCAACAGCAAAAATTTTTTCTAAGAAAATTATATATATATATATATATATATATATATATATATATATATATATATATATATATATATATATATAAATTTATAAAAAAATATTATTTTACAGCTTTAATGAAAAAAATTTAAAACATTTTTGTAAATTTATTAAACTTATAACTTGAGTTTAAAATATATAATTAAAAATTTAAATAAGTTTTCATATTAAAAAAAAGTTTCTAGCTGATAAATTTCAGTTAGTTGACTTTTTTAAATTTATTTCATTTTCCAAATGTCACTTTTTTATTACAAGTAAAGCATATTATCTGTATTGTAAAAGTTTAATGACATTTTTTAATATATTAATTTCTTTATTAAATGCAAAATGCCAAAAACGCTCTGTTATTTGGGATTATTTTGAAAAAGAACCAACTAATAAAGATGGAGAAGTAGTTGCCAACCTAATTTGCAAAAAGTGCAAAATTTGCGAAAGGTTTACAAACTTGTTAAGGGTTTAACATCCAGTATGAGATACTACTTGAAAATAACTCTTTCATCTTTGTATAAATTATTAGTTGAAAAAGAATTTAAAAATTAAGTTAATCAAAATGACGAAAACAGTTGATCAAAATGAAAAAAAAACAACAGTTGATCAAAATAACGGAGAGGAAAATAACTAAATAAGAAAAGTCAAAAAAAAAAAAAACAAAGTCAGGAACAAAAACAGCTGGCTATTCATTTTAATATCACAAATTTTTGGTTCGCTAATCTCTACCCTTCAGTATAGTTGAATCTCAAGGTATTAAAGAATTTGTTCATAGTTTTGATCCCCGTGCTAATATAAAAAGTAGGACAACATCTTCTAAGTACAAGTTACCCATGATGTATTGGAATATTAAGGCAACATTTGATAAAAAGCTGACAATTGAGCTAAAAAATGTAGATGGTGTAGGATTCACCACTGATTGCTGGACCTCTAGAGTAGTAGATTCATTTATTATTTTAACTCTGCATTACATTGCTGATGATTACACTTTGAGAAAGTTTGTTATTAGCTGTTAAAGTTTTATTTACTAACACTAACAGCTGTTAGCTGTTAGTGTATTAGAGTTTTCAGAACGCCATACTGCTCAACATATTGCTAATGGAATAGACAAAATGGTTGAGTCAGTTGTTGGCTTGAAAGAAAAACAAAAAGTGATGATAACTGATGCTGCAAGCAACATGATAAAAACAATGCAACTTATGCTAATTTGTGTTACGATCATAGGGTTAATACTAGTTTAGGTTGAGCATTAAAAACATTGAAACAAAATTTATTTGAAAAGGTTAACAAAATTTAAGATGCTCTTGACATCTGCACAAAACTTTCTTCTAAAACTCGTCAATCATTCTTAACCTGTAAAGAAATTAAAAAAGAATGCAATAAACTTGATAATTGATTTTTTTAACTTTTTAAGTTACTTTTACCTGCCTAAATTTCTATTCATGATATTCAATTAATTGTAATATAACATGATATTTGCTTTTTTTATAGTGCCTTTCGTTAAAGTAATTGCTCCCGTAAAATTGCAATGGAACAGCCATAGCATAATGGTAGAATCGATATTGAAATTAAGACTAGCTCTAGAATCTATCAGAGACTCAGATGTTGTCTCAGAGTTACAAAAATTAATACCTGATGCTAGACACTTTGTTATATTGAATTAACTTTTACCGATATTGATAGAATTTAAAAAAATATGTGATATGCTTTCAACTGATAACATTCCAATGATTCAAAATGTAATTTATAACATTATTATACTTTTTATAACATTACCTATATATATATTTATATTATATATATATATATATATCTTTTATATATACACTATATATATAAAATCAAATATCTCTATTTTTATAAACAATGTTACATGCTACTAAATTATAAATATTGGTTATTTTATAATTTATTGATCATTAAAAAAAAAAAAAAAAATTAAAAAGTATATATACTTAGCATGCTCCATTGAAGAATCATGAACTGAAGCTGCAGCATTGAAATATTCTTGGGAAGCAGCTAAAACAATATCAACAGAGGTTTCATAATTTAATGTATATGTTGCTGATGGAAGATTCTTTTTAATTACAGAAACCCCTTGCTTGGTCTTTGTTAACAATTCGCCAGCTAAACCTATGGCTTGCATAGATCCTGACTGAAGAAGACATTCTGCAAAAAACTAAACAAATAAATGTATTAAAATTTATAATTGCTATTCTTTTATTTATTTTCAAAAAGAACACTTTTTTTTTTAAATTTTGAAACAAAAAGGAAAAGACCTGATGGCAAAGCGACTCATCAACGCACAAAAAGACAGTTTTACAAAGTTTAACTATATGCTTAAGAAGAGTGTTCCAATCTTGATAACTTGTTGCAGATGATCTGACTGAAGTATTTTTTAAGATTGAATGAAGAATTTCATTTACAACGGTGAAGTTATCCTTTATCTCTAAAAGATAGCCAACAGTTTTTGGGCAATTATGATACTGTAAGATTTCTGCAGCACTTAACAGTAATTCAAGTTGGTCCATTTGAATATGAAGCTGTTGTATTTGTTGAGATAAACATCTTTGAAACAAACAAATATTTACGAAAATTATATTACTATAGCTACAATATTATTACTTTTTATAACAACAACTATAATATATAATATATATATATATATATATATATATATATATATATATATATATATATATATATATATATATATATATATATATATATATATATACATACATATATATATATATATATATATATATATATATATATATATATATATATATATATATATATATATATATATATATATATATACTTTTATATATATATATATATATATATATATATATATATATATATACACACTCTAAAAACAATCAGTTAGTCCTGAACTGTTTGCTGTGGTAGTATAGTTCGTTTCGTTTTTAAGACGTAAAATTAAGAACATTTTTTAGCATTGTTCGATGTTGGTTGCAAATGTTTTGTCCAATACTGTGTATGTGTATATATATATATATATATATATATATATATATATATATATATATATAAAGAAATATTTGACATATTTAATATTTATAACATGTATACATAATATACATAAAATATTTTAACACAATTCATGATTTTCTCTCTCATTTACTCTTACCCTTCTTCTTTAGCTGGGAGACATTCTACTATGGAAAATGCAACATGAAGTTGATCATGACGCTTATTAGCATAAATGCAATCCATAGAAAGTCTCATAATTTCTGCTACATCAGCAATTAAGGGTTCAGCCAACTGAAACAAGAGGAGATATAATTGTTAATATACTTTATTTAGCAGTTTAATTTCAAAACCATTAAAACAGTTCAAAACTAATACATATAAAAGTTATTTGAAAAAATTCTTATAATCACACAATCAAAGTAAAAAATATTTTCAATAACTAACCCCTGGGGTTGAATTTTGCACAAGTTTTAAACAACAAGTCAAATCTGAAACTGCTATATCAGTCATAAACTGGTGAATCAACTTTTGTCGAGTTACTTTGCCATTTTTTTTCTCGACTTTTTGCAAATATGGATTCAACAGTGCTTTATAATCACTAATAAAGGATTCATCAGTAGTTTTTGTCATCAAAAGCTTCATTTTTGAGATATGAGGAAGATCAATGATCTCTTTAAGTGCTAGATCATTATCAATATTAACTTCATAAACTAAAACTCTGAGTGTTTCAAGATTACTTTGTATGTTTTTTAGACCATGAATACCTCTTGCTATCCCAATATTGGTTAGTTGTAAGCAGCAGTCAACTTGTTTTGATCTTTCATCTATTTCAAATATCCTTTTATGAAACCATTTTTGCAAAACATCTTTTGAACTACAGTTCATAAATTCCAAAAGCTCCGGCTGATTTTTATAAATAAATGCACCAAGATCCTCTTCTTTGTGGGTATCTTCTATTTGTTCAGTAATTCCATTTTGTTGAACCCAGTCTTTTTCTCTATGACGTTTTTGTAACCATGGAAGTATCTCAACTCCACCACCAACCTCACTGTAATCAGAAATTAAATATACTTACATGCACTATACATGTATATTGTAGTATATATGTACATATAAAACCCTCAGAATTAGGAAAAATGATGTCACAATAATTTGCCTACCTCAATCTTTTAGAGGTCAGCAGTTTTTTATTTTTATTTTTTAAAAATTTGATACAAAGATTTTACCATAATCTTTTTTGTATAATAATGTACAAAAAAATATCTCGTTCATTAAACAGTGATCAATATTATAAAAATAAATATTTTATATAATAGATCTGATATATTTTTAGTATTAAAATAAAAAAAATACAACTTTTTGTTTGTACTTAGAGTTTCATGTCTGGCAGCAATCATCAGCCATGTATTTTTAAATCAAGAAACTTAAAAACCATTAAAAATATAAATTAGGCAATTCAATGGAATCTGATATCAAAAAATCAATTACATGAAGTCTACCTTTACCTTGCGTCGAATTGACAAAGAAGGAGTTTATTTTTATGCCAAAATTTCGATATAATTTCAGTTTTCTTATTTAATAAACTAAAATAAAATTGTTTAAAATAATTTCATTGTTTGAAATAATTTCATATTTTACTTTAAGGCATAATTTGCATGATTTTGTTGTCAGATTATACACTTCACATCTAATTATTTTCTAACCACAGGATTTTTTAGTATTATTTTTTAACTTTCAAACCTCCTTTGGCAGCTTTGTATTATTTTTATATTTGGGGATATTAAATGATTTCAAATGGCTGGCATATTTTAGTTTAAAAAGTGTTTCACTAATACAAATGTATGATTTTTTTTTAGTGAAGGGTTATCCAAAATGATGGTTGCTTGGTATACAATATTGTTGTTCAAGCACTTATTTTAAGTAAAGGACACTTGTTTTTATTACGACAGTTGCACTTATTTTTAATAATGGTTGGATTTTTGTTTAGGATGTGCTTGTTGTGTAAATTTATTACTGACTTCATGTTCGGCATGCAAATGTAGCTGATTTCTATAGTGTTCTTGTTGAAATTTCATATAGTTTGTTGTTAATTAGAAAATGTTTGGCAATATAATTTAAAAAGCATTTGCCTATATTTGTGGTGACATTTATGCTAAAAGAAGGTTTTTACCAGATTATTTTGCGTGTACGTTTTTCTTTTGTTGTTGTTTTAAGTTAGATTCATTATAAGTTAACATTTTAATTGTTTTTTATTATCTGGAGGAAGGTTCTTTTAAGAACCTGAAACTAAATTTTTCCGCAATATTATTAATACCGAGTATAAAAGCAACAATGTATATTATCAATAGGGACTTCAATGTATATCATCAATAGGGACTGTCTGGACATATTGGCCAGGAAATTGAACAGACCTCAATTACATTGAGCATGTATGAGCAAGGCTTCAGAACAACGTTTTTAAAAATTCCAGGCTCAAAAACCACCAACTCATCACAAGAGCTGGAAAAAAATGAGCTTCCACCCAGGAAGAATGCTATTCATTTATTGAAAGTTTTTGCTTACTTTCGCAATTGAGTGTCACTACATCAACTAAGGGTTTAGCATGGGCAACAATCTTTTCTTTCATTATACTTCGCTTTTTTCTTCTTTTTCTGAAAACTTTGTATGCTATAAAGATAAGCAAAACTAGAAAGCATATGCTTATCTAAACACGCTGTAGTAGATATATATATATTTTTTCAACTATTTGCTTTACTTTTATTACTATGAAATATATATCTATATATATTTCATAGTAATAAAAGTAAAGCAAATAATTAAAAAATTATTAGTATATATTAAAAATTTAGTTATAAAAACAAAACAAATATTTAAAAAGGTATATAGCTAAGATATAAAAAAACAGTAATAAAACAATCAGTATATGGTTATGGTTATAAAAACATGTTACTAAATAAAATAAAAAGTATAAACATTTGATAATATAATAAAGTATTAAAAGTATTCAAAATTGAAAATTAAAATTTTACCCAAGTTCTGGAATAAGTGGCTCATATTCTTTTGCATCAGCTGTCTCTGGGAAGTTGGAAAGGATAGGCAACCAGTGGGCTAAGATTTGGTCACCATGATAAGAAAATAAATCCTCAAGAGCATATGAGTTTTCTTCGTGTGCATACTGGACAGCTTGATAAACAATATTACATGAACGAAAGTCCGAAAAAAATTTGGAATTAAACTTGTCACGAGCTTTGAAGGAGCCACCAAGAATAACCTAGTTTATTTAAGCATCATAAAAACTATTTTTTAAATAGTAAAAGATGATATAACATTTTTTAAAAAGATTAAACAAAAAACAATTTTTAATAAAATTATGCTTAAATTATATGTATACTTTATATAATGATGAGACTTAATATGATGATTACACTGATGACAAAGCTCACAGTAAAATATGATGACAAAGATCACAGTAAAATATGATGACAAAGCTCACAGTAAAATAATAAAGCAGGGAGAACTTGTGTTATAGATAGATATTTTTAAATTACCAATAATCCATTTTAGACATTTTTAGATGTTCCTTTTACCTGAAGAAATTTTTTTATGTATTATAAGTAAAACAAACTAGAAAAAAAAGGTAATTTAATTAAAAAAACATCAATAAATATTTATTGATGTTCATTAATTATACCATAATTTTTTTATGATTTAATTAATAAAAATAAATAAATTTATTTTTATTAATTAAACCATAATAAATGTTTTTTTAATTAAATTACCTTTTTTTTCTAGTTTGTTTTACTTATAATACATAAAAAAATTTCTTCAGGTAAAAGGAACATCTAAAAATGTCTAAAATGGATTATTGGTAATTTAAAAATATCTATCTATAACACAAGTTCTCCCTGCTTTATTATATATATATATATATATATATATATATATATATATATATATATATATATATATATATATATATATATATATATATATATATATATATATATATATATATATATATATATATATATATATATATATATATATAGATATATATATATATATATATATATATATATATATATATATATATATATATATATATAGATATATATATATATATATAGATATATATATATATATATATATATAGATATATTTATATATATATATTATATACAAAAATTAATCTTTAATTTAAGCATATTTCAGAGAAACAAGAATAAAAATACACTGTGATGATTGATGATTTCTCGGCATGTAAAAAATCAACAATTGTACAAACTAATAAATTTTTTTTTTGCATGTTACAAATGCAATGTGCAAATAATTCAAAATTTTATAATATTAACAAGATTATCAATTAATAATGGTCATGATCATTACAAATTAAAACAATTAAAGAAAGTAACTGAAGATATTAAATTTTAAAACTAACTTCGTATGTAGAAAGTCGATCAAGATAATGCAATAGCTGTAAGCGATATTTGCATATCTTCATTTGCTTTGGAGATAATCTAATGAAGCCATAATACACAATATAAAAGTTATACAATACCAATAATTGTTGTTATAAATATACTATTATTGTAAACAATTATATATATATATATATATATATATATATATATATATATATATATATATATATATATATATATATATATATATATATATATATATATATTATTATTATTATTATTATTATTAATATTATTATTATTGTTATTATACATAACTTAATCATTAATTAAATTTTAATTATTAGTGTTTAAAAGCAATTAATTAGTTAAAAATAAATTTTGCATTTAAAATGAATTACATAATAATCTCACATTAAACTCTAAATAAATTACACAATAAATAAATTACATAAAAACTTAACATTCAACACTACAGTTTGGTTTGTATCACCTATATAATATTGTCACCTATATAATATTTTCTCATATATAATTATCATTAAAATAAGCCCCTACTACAAGAGCAATCAAAAACAAAAAAAAGTTGAATAATAAAAACTAAAAATATATAAAAAATACTTTTCTAACAGAGTAATTCAAAAAAAATATCATTTTTTAAATATCATTTTGTTAACATACATGCCATTAAAAATATTCTCAGATTTAACATCATCATCGTCTGTTATGGGTGTAGGATAGTGGACTAAATATTTTTCTGAATCTATATTTTGCAGGACCTCCCAACTTGTTTCCAGTAATCCATACTTGATAAGTTCTTCTGTTGAATCAAAATCACTTGCAACACGAAGCAAACATTCATCCAAAACCCAAAAACGATCTTTGACTTTTGTCTTAAAATTTTAACACAAATTTTTTAATAGATTTAATAAAATGCATAGCAAAACATACATTAAAAAAACAAAAGCAAAACAAAAATTCAATATTTAAAAATATTATACATAATTAAAATCAAATATAAAACAGATATTACTATAATATTCATTTAATATTGAATATTATTTAATAAAAATAATTGAATTATATACAATATTAAATATAGAAATAAAAATATAATATTAAACAAAGCAAACAGTTTATTTTTTACAAACTAATACTTATATAAAAGAAACAGAAAGGAATTATCAATGAGGTCAGATTACTGCAAAACAACTTACAAATAGTTTTGCGATTGATTTTATATATACTTTCTAGCAGAGGAATGGATTTGATATATAGTTTCTAGCAGGGTTCAATACTGAAAATTAATCTGAGGAGACATAAAGTAGTTGACCCAGTAAGTATATTTTAAATCATAGATATAGGAATATTATTCAAAGATAGGATTATATAGGATTATTATGACAAGATTATAGTAAAAGTGATGGTGTAAAAAAAATGTCGATGGTGTAAAATATTTTTATTTTAGTATAAACCTTATCTGAAATGACTAGCTTGGTAATTATGCAGATTCGTAATTGATGAGTTGGTAATTATGCAATGACTTAGTAATTATGCTTGGTAATTATTCTTGGTAATTATGCAGTTTATTTTTATAACTACCAAGCTTAAATGACATTTTTAAAATCTCAAAGTTATAAACTAAACAGATAATAATATGCATGCTGATTGAAAATTATTTAATGTATTTGAATGATTAGACCCATAGCCAATTAAATAATTTTTGCTGTAGTTACAGGACTTTATTTTATATCTTGAAACTAATACAAAGCCCATATATATGGGCTTTGTAAACTAAAAAAAAACTTAAAGCTAAAACCTTTAAAAATGTCATAAAAAAACTTTTGTGTATAATAATTTGAATTTTGTGGTTCAAATGGTAATTTATTTCAAAAGTTTTTCATAGCAATCAGTGATCTCACGTTATTAACAAAAAGAAAACTTGATATTTTAAAATCTTTTACAAAAATTAAATTACATAAATATTCTCATGAGGGCATTGATTAAAAAAACGATTGTAACAGGAAATAGAGGTGGGTTTAAAAGTTGTATCTCTTCTGAATTAAATGATTTTTTTGTCTTTGTGACATATAATACCATAAATGAAATCTTACGTATCTATTTACAACATTTATACAATACACTCAAAAAGCATCTGGATCAATTTGCAATCCTGAGGTTAATGTTTACAAATACAACATGAATTATTTTCATCAAACATAAACTAAATCCAGTACTGCTAGATACTATTTGAGCATTCTCAAAAAACATTCTAGTATTTTTATCATTCAATCTTCCTAAACCTCTTGACTTTTTTTGTTTCCTTTATTTGTTCTTTTATTATTTTCTTTTTTTAATGAAACAGAAACTTTGTCCTATATTGATCTAGCTTAATTTTTCTAATACCCATTAGTTACCAGTTTCCCGGTTAGTATGATATATGCAGGACACATACCATGCAATGCATCCAAGCATGTATTATTAATAGACCATACTTTAAGCCATCACCAGGTAGTACACATGCTTATTTATTTGAGTAGGCTAAGGACCACACACTGAACAACATTGAATAATGATTGTTACATCAGACAAAGCAGTGGCAAGTTTCCATCAACCATGGGCAGTTCAATTATATGATTAATTGTGATATTATCCATTAAACTAGTAGGCTCCAATTTTTTTGACACAAACTAATGTACCTATTAATAAGCAGTTGAATAAATTAAATGAATTATAGTTATAATTAAAACTATATTAAATAAGAATGCTGTACCTTTCTCCTCCCTTAATAACGAAATTCACAAGCCACTGTGAACCCCAATCTTTTACTGAAGTGAGATCGGATTCAAGATCAGCTGCTTGTTCTAGGCGATCGAAAAGAGAAGACTTTTTGTCAAGACAGGAGTATAAAGTTGAGTCATCAGCAAAAAGAGCTACTTTAGATGAATGGTTGTCAGGAAGATCGTTTATGTAGATAAGAAACAAAACAGGGGCCAGGATGGAACCTTGGGGAACCCCAGAAGTTACTGGAAATAAAGAAGAGTGTTGGCCTTCAAGGATGACTTTAATAAACCGGTTAGAAAGAAACAATTTGATATTCTCAAAAACTTTCCCAGAAACACCATATGAAGCAAGCTTATGGAGAAGACCAGCATGCCAAACTTTGTTAAAAGCTTTAGATATGTCGAGAGCAATAGCCCTAGCCTCACCGCCTCCATCTAATGCACGATAAAATCTTTCAGTTACAGCAGTTAGCAAGTCGGCCGTAGAGCAAGAGGATCAAAAACCGTCAAAAACTGTCTGTTTATTTGACTATTTAACTTTAGAGTTTATGCATATATTCCACTTTAGGAGATGAAGTTTGTTAATATGTTATTCAGAGCTATGCCATGCCATGCTAATTGTATCCAAAATAGCTAACTTAAGGTTTTCTTGTACAATATATGAATAAATGTATTCCATGTTTAATAATATCTGGAAAAAAAAAGGTTACATGCACATGTTTACAAAATAATAATAAATAAGTATATATTTTAAGACGTGTAAATATTTAGTTTGTAACACAAATCTATAACTAAGTCTCAATGAAACCCAATTATTACATAACTAGTTAGAAAAATACATTTATTTTGCTTCATAAAACTAGATTTATTTAACTCATTTAACTTGTAAAAATCATTACTAAAGACCATCTGGACATTCCCAGTGATAAATCATCATTATCATCATCTTCATGATCATCATCATCTAAAGTATTGCGATATCAGTATCGTAGTATCGAAACATGCTAAAATATCGACATTTTGACCAGGTTCGATATTGAATTGTCGATATTGTAATTTTTTTAATAATATCGAAGTTTCGATATTATTCGATATCCTTTCACAGCAATATCGAAAGATTCTCGATATTCAAACTAAAATATTGATACTAATATTCAAACTTTAATAAAAATCAACTGTTATACTCTAAACTGTCCCTTCTAAAATTTCCCAGCTAAACTTTCCCGCCAAACTGAAAAGTAATTAAAAATGCTAAAAATTAAGTGTAAATTAAAAATTGGGTAAAGCTACAGTTAAGCGGCCTAAAATAATTATATTTTTTCGCTTTTTAAAAACACGATGGAGCGTATTTTTAAAGCGAAACTTAATTATGTTATGTAATAATAAATGTTACGGGTTGTGAATTTGAAATTAAAAGATTTAATTAAAAGTTGAAGTTTTATATTAAAGTTGAAGGTAAATAAATAATAATTATAATCAAAGAAATATAAATTATAATCAAAGTAAATTATAAGTAAATTATAATCAAAGTTTAATTATTAAATATAATAATTATAATCAAATTATAATCAAATTAAATTATAATCAAGGTAAATTATAATCAAAGTTTTGATATTATAATAATAAATATATTTTTATAAATAAAATATAATATAATAGTAATAAAATAAAAAAAAAAAAATAGCAAATAATATATAAAAAATAATAAGAAAACAATATATAAAATAAAGCATAAAACATTAAATTCCGCAAACAACTTATTTCTAAACAATAAATTTACTTTGCTCTTATTAGAATAAAATAAATCTTCTTTGCTTTTATATTTTGTTAATATTTTAAAGTCTCTACGAACGAGAGCGCAAAAAGCGAAACAGTAAATTTATTTTAGGCTGCTTAACTGTAGCTTATCCAAAAATTGATGTCTTAATTTTTGTTCAATACTCAAATACTTTTGATATAACCTTATAAATATTTTTTTCAAAATTAGTTACTAATAGAAGTTATAAGTGAGAAAAGTTGTGATATTTTTTGTTGAAAATGCCAAGAGTAAGTCCCTTTTGGGCGTATTTTTTAAGAGACACACCAAAAAAAGATATTGCTCAGTGTAAGCTATGCCCAACACAAATAGGTACCAAACAGAGCACTACGACTGGTTTGAAGGTTCACATCAGAGGTTGTCATAATGAAATTTTTCTCAACATTGGGAAAGAAAATTTAAAACGAGCACCAGAAACAACAGCTGAGCAGCTTGCACAAGAATCAATTTGGGACACTCATGGGCCAATAGCTCTAAGTGCAAAAAGAGTAAAGATGGACATTTCATCGTATTGCAAGGTTGTGACAAAATATGGAACAAACGACAAGCGACAGTTAATAACTGACTTAGATATTGTGAAATATTTGTGCATGGGAAATTTAGCTTTTCAACATGTTTCATCACCTGCTTTTAAAGACTTTTTATTAAGCCTTCATCCAGAAATTATTATTAGAGCACCATCAACATATTCAAGAAACAAACTTCCAATCCTTTATTCTAATGTTTTTGAGGCAGTTCTTAATGTTTTAACACATAACTTAAAAGATGTAGATGCAGTTGGATTTACTTCAGATCTTTGGTCCAGCAAAAGCAATGAGTCATTTGCAGCCTTGACGCTTCATTATATTACAACTGGCTTTGAACTAAAGACATTTTTGCTGGGCTGTAATGCTTTTCCAGACAGCCACACAGGTGACAATATTTCAATTAAAACAGACACATTAATTTCTGTTCTACCTTTTAATAATGGTTGTAAAATGACTTCTGTCACAGATAGTGCAGCAAACATGATATCATGAAAAAATCGGCCAAAATTGATGAAAGTATTTCCTGCATTGCACATTTACTTCACCTTGTTATTATCAAATCTGTCAAAGAAGTCGATGAGATTGAAAAAGTTTTTCAGGTAAAAAAATGTTTAGTCATTTTCTCCTCTTGTTTACGAAACTATGAAAAATGCAATAGTCTATTTTCTCAATAGTAAAAAATTTTAAAGAATGCATCAATACCATTTACCTGCATAAAGGTGCAACCAACAAATGAATAACTTTCAAATCCTATGTTTTTTTTTGTTTATATATTTTTTTTAACCAAAATAATTTTTTATTTCAAGGTGTGCAAAACACTCTCAGCACGAACTCACAAATCAATCAACAGTCAACAGAGAATTATGGAAGCATGTAGTGATGTCATACCTGAGAAAATCAAATTTAATAAAATTATTTCTCCTTGTCCTACACGTTGGAATAGTGGTTTTATGTGCATGGATTCAATATTACATTTACGATTAGCTCTTGAAATAATTGCAAGCAGCAACCTTAAAACGGACGACATTTTAATGGCTTTAATTCCATCTTCTGATGAGTTTGATGTTATTGAAAAAGTAGTGCCAATCATGAAACTGTTTAATGATTTTACAGAGGTTGTTTCATCTGAAAAAATCCCAACTTCTCAGAGAGTTGTTCCAGGACTGTTTGATATTCAAGAGAATATTAAAAAGCTTATACTGCCAAATGACAAAATTACAGGAGACTTTGTTTCTAAACTCCTTTCAAATCTTAACAAACGATTTCCAGACGGTGGTTCAAGACAAAAAAATAATGCTTTAGCTCACTTACTTGATCCCAAATTTAAGGGTCTCCTTTTGACAAGGTTTGGCCAAGACGATGTCGCACTCAGAGATTTAAAAGAAATTTCAATAGGAAAGCAACCATCAAATTTGATTGAAAATACAACACAAACAGTGTCACCCAAACAAGATTTGTCTCCTGCCGAACAACTTCTTTTTGAAATGATGGGTCAGGATTCTAATGCCTCTGAGCTTTACAGATCATCAAAAGATTCTTCATTTGATATAGAACTAGAAGCTTACAAGAGGTTTGGATTTCCAGATAAAAATTACAATATTTTGGAATGGTGGAAAATTCATTCACCTCAACTTCCAATTTTGTCTAGAAAAGAAAGTCTTGTGTGTCCCAGCGTCATCAACTTCTTCAGAGCGTGTGTTTTCACAAGCCGGAAATATTGTGTCATGTAAAAGAACTTTACTAAAAGCCGAGACAATAGAAAAACTTGTGTACGTTAAAATCAACATTAGTAAAGTTACTATTAAAAAATGGCTAATCGAGGAAGAAAATGTTTCATCAGCTGACGCGATAGACTAATTTTTGTTTTGTAAAACTGTTTATGAAAAAATATACAATTAATTGAGCTATAATTTTTAAAATATTAATGCAAATATTGAAGATAACTTACGGTATTAGACCCTTCAAATTCCTCTAATTAGAAAAAATGGGTCTTGAACACAAAAATAGCATTCTAAAATTCTAGAATCTCGTTTAATATCGTATAATATCATAAAATATCGAACTGAATATCGATAAGTTCGAAATTCAGTAAAAATATATCCAGTTTCAATATTGAAGTTCGATACTGTGTTTATGTAATATCGTAGTATCGACAATATCGACTTTTATGAATATCGCAATAGCTTATCATCATCATCAATTTAGTCATCTTGTTTCTAAAATATTAAAACTTACTAACAAACTCCATTTTTCCACCACACTTTCTTTTTCTACTATGACTTCTCTGAATTCAACAAAAGTACAATTTACACATTCAATCATTTGGGAATTTATATACCTTTATATACCATTGCATTGCAAAAATCTGACAATTACCAGACACCCACATTTCTTGAAGTCTTTAACATCTCAGCCAATCCACTAGAAGGACCAGCTAACTGAGCCCACATAACAGTGGATTTCACTTCGCTACAAGTTATCTCTGCTGGTTCAGTAACCTTATTCATCGCAGATGAACCTTTGTTCAAATTAAACTTAAAATAGCCCATCTTGTTTTTACCTCATTTTCATTTGTTGTAAGTTTCTAAAACAATTTTCCTATCTAGACTATAAATAGAGTCTTCTCCAATAACATCCCTACTTTTCTTATTCATTTGCTTTATTACACTAAAAGTTGCATTTTTTTTGTCCACTAAATGTACCATCTTGTCAAATAGTCTCTGTCATCCATTTTTTGAGCATATTAAATTTATAATGATTGTAAAATAGATTTTTCAGAAGTCTCTGGATCATTACTACTGAGATAAAAAATATCTCTGGATCATTACTCCTGAGAGAAACTTTCATTACTACTGAGATAAAAACTTGTGATAAAATAATGACTTGTGATAAAATAAAGATCTTTTCAGATGAAAAGTAAAAGTTGGCTCCCATGGGCTGGGGGGACATAAATATATTTAAAAAGTCTAAGAAATATTTTTTTGTAATCAATTTTTTTTGTTAGTGTTATTATATCACTATCAATGATACAACTTATAAAAAAGGAACTTTGATGAATAAATCTCAAATGAACAAGTTGAGTGCTCTAATTCCAGAGACATGCTGGGTTAGTACCTCTAAATATGAACATTTCGGGTTTGTGCCTATCAATAGAGAAATGTTGAATTTGTGCTTCTCAATAGAGACATGATGGGCTTGTGCTTCTCAATAAGGACATGATGGGTTTGTGCTGTTCAATGGAGACATGTTGGATTTGTGCCTTTCATTTACAAAGCAAGCATTTTATAACTAAACCATTACTGTATGAACTAAATTGAAAGGTCAGATTTAAAACAAATTTTGAAATCATAAAAATTATTTTTATGCACAAATACTTACTAAATAATCATGTATAGTTATCTTTGAAACCGGCTTTTTTCTCCATTGTGCTTGATAAACTGGATCTGTGCTTAATTTAAACCGCAATGCTAACTCTAATGCCTCTCCATAATGTTCTTGTTCAATCTAAAAGAAGTTTACAGTATATATACCTGAAAATATTTCTTTCTAATATTTTTAGAAGTTTTTCTATAATATTCTAGAAGTTTCTCCATAATATTCTAGAAGTAATTTTTATTAAAAGAAGTAATTTTTATTAAAAACTTATAAGAAAATATACTTTTGAAAATTTTATATAAAGGTTGTTTCTACCAAATGAAGCCCTAAAAAAAAATGAAAAAAAAACAACCTTTCTAGAAAACAATTCTTCTGGAGTTGTTGATTTAAGACAAACTAATCGATAAACATTAGTGAGAATCCTGAAGATAAAAAGAAACTAAAAAAAATAAAAATTAAAGTAGTTAATTCCCCAAATTAAATACCAAGTAGGTAATTAATATATATAAACCTAAATACTATAAAGTACTATACATTAGTTTAATATCTTTCACTACCTTTTTCTCACTATTTTTTACTATCTTTTTAGGATTAGGTTTTAAGGCCAATTTAAACAAAAAAATATTTAAAAAATTTTTTCTTCTTCTCATGAAGCATTTAATCAAAATCTTATTTGTAAATTAAAAAAACACAACAATTATTCTATATTTGTTTAAAGTGTTAACCTTTAAACAAAATTCAGTTTTTTTATATGAAAAAACGCTAACATCTGCAATTTTTCTAAATTTTATTTTGACACATTTCATAAGCAACTGTAAAAAATTTTGTTTTTTACAACTTCTTGTAGTTTTAATTTAATACAATTATCGAACTTAAATTTGCTCTGTTGAAGCCAATCTCCCTCTGTGCCGAATTCCCCTAAAAGTTTTCAATTGGTTGTGTTTGAAGCACATTTGGGTGGTTGGATTCTTTATCAAGGTAATTGATATTTTGAACCATTTAATTTTAAAAATCTTTAGAATAATGAGAAATTGATAAATCAAAATAAATAGTTAAAGTCTCTATGATACTTGTGAATGAAATGAATAATTTGTTTTTCTAAATTCATCTATATAGATGGATATATCAATTGCTATAGCCTTGGGAGTACGAAACAATGGCTTGCTCAAGCTATGATCAGATTTGGGTACTCGAATTGATAATTATTTTTGGAAATTCTTCTTTTCCTATAAAGCAAACACTTTCTGGGCATTTTTTTTTGTTGTTGTTTGTGTAATATTCAGAATTTTCAGCCATGTTGTCACCTGCAAAATAAAAGTATTTTTTATCATCAACGACCAAAAGTGATTTCGTGAAAAACAAAAAAAAAATTTACACCAAGCACTTATTACTTTTTAAATAGAAAAATTCTTTTATATTTGGCATTAATAGACCTAGTAACCTAGTAACCAAGTTCTAGATGGCACACATTACTTTTTTCCAAAAAAAAAAAAAATTTTAGGACACAATGAATACACTTAAAACCACAAAAACAAATTATTATGCTTGAATAATTAAATTCAGATTTGTCTGATAACTTCCGCATCACCGGTTATAATATTAGCAACGACATGTTATTAGTTGTGTTTAATAATTTTATGATCTTATTTTAGTTCAAATAAGAAAATCTTCAAAAGTCCTTGTTATTTAAACAATTATCAATTAACAAAACTATCAAAAAATATTTCTTTAACCTAAAAAATACACCGGGTTTAAATATTAATTTTTATACCTAGGTTTCCTAGGTTACATACCGAGGTTTCTTCAAGCTTGGCTGAAATCTTTCAGCTTCTGTTAAGAAGTAAAGTACCTAAAAACATAAATAAATAAAAAATATAAATAATAATAATGAAAGAGATGAAAAATAACAATGATGAAAAAGAGAAGAAAAAAATCTCTAATTTACTAAATATAAACACGCAAACAAAACTAAGCTTATATTTTCAATGAAACCATTAGTAAATATTGAAATCATTATTATGCTATTTAATTAATTATACTCTATTTCTTTGAGTTTTGTTTTGTGATGTTTTATTATAAGCCAAAGAGTACCTATTATAATTACACGCTAAAGTAAGGCATGTGACTGTTTTAGATATTATTTGTTCCAATTTACTATTTGTAACACTGGTCTTCACCAAACATTAAAAAATAACCAGATATTTTTCAAATGTTAATATGTGCAATACAATGAAATTTTTAAATGTTCATATGTGCAATACAATTAAATTTTCAAATGTTCATATGTGCAATACAATGAAGTTTTCAAATATTTATATATGCAATAAAATGAAATAATCTCAACAATGAAATAAATGAAACAATGAAAAACTATCATATGTTTACTATCTAAAATGAAATATAATCTGGCGTTTATAATGATTTATTTAATAAAAACTGATATTAGCATTAATTAGCTAAATAATTATTCATTTAAATAACTTTTTATAACAAACAAACTTTAAACAATAAGGTTATAGACTACGAAGAAATACTTAAATTACACTTTTTTGTGTGCAGATTGGTTTTGAGTTTTATTAATGGAAAAATAACAAACACTAATATCACTTCTAAACTCTAAAAAAAAAAAAAATTAAGATAAAAAAATAAACTGATATTATTTATATATTCTGATATAATTTGCATTTTAGACCTTTTTTTGAATTTAGTAAATCATTTAAAAATATAATCAACCTGTTTTACAATTTCTTGCGTTTTAAACTTTAAAGACACAGAATGATCATCATCTGTTTCGCTCAACCAAGAACTATTTGGAGATTCAGGTACTTGAGCTGCTGTTTCTTTTACAATTTTGTCACACTAAAATATTTAAAAAAATAACAATGTTTAAAAAGTAATTTTAAAAAATGTAAACTTTTTTCCTCAGCTTCTAAAAAATTAAGTATAGGTCAAAAAACTAAATGAACTGTTAACTAGAGAATAAAATTAACTAAATATATTAAATTACATCTACATTACTATGGATTATTTTTGCAAGTAATTTAAGTAACTTTTGTCGTCTAAATATAACTATAGTAAATTATTTGGAAATACTTTTAATCTGTGAGTAACATCTTAAATAAAAACTCTAGAATATATCTAAACTTTTCAACAATACATTGAACATTTTTTATAAGTTGAGATATATTTTAAGTCTAAATTTCATATTAAATAAACATTCAACTTAATTTCCTGCAAATAACTTTATAGGGACTCTTTTATTAATGATTCTATTATTGATCGTTTATATATTAATGACTTATTTTATTCAGAATTAAGTTCATAAGTTGATATTACATATATACACAACTTTATGTAATTATACTTAGTTATAAGTTCATAAGTTAATACTACATATATACACCACTTTATGTGATTATACTTAGTTTTAAGTTCATAAGTTAATATTACAGATACACCACTTTATGTGATTTTACTTGGATTAAAAACAAATTGTTGGGGGAAAATTGAAAAAAAATATTTAAAGTTAGTTAATGCAAAAATAATAGCTATACTAAAAGCCTGATGTTGGAGTAAATATGCATAAAAGGTATGTTAAATGTTTACATAAAATATGTAACAACTAAACAAAATACAATAAATATGCAAAAATATAAAAACTACATGTTACAGATACATGTGTTAAAAAAGAAAAATAACAAAGCAACTAAATAATCAAACTTTAATTTTGTATAAACTTCATATTTCACATAAGTATAAACTTCATATTTTACTTTTAATCCTTTAAAATATGCATTTAAATATAATTGGTAGTTGAAGAAAAAAAAATTCTTGAATGATTTAATATAATGAACTATAAATAATGATATAAATTTAAAAGAAAAACATACAAAAAAAAACAAACATGAAGAATGTTATTGAGATAACAAAATTGTTAAAAAATTTATCTTCAAAAACATTTAGAAAAATAAATATTAAAATAACTTGAATCTTTTATTGTTTGTTATTAAAATAAGAAATCTATTGGCAAATTTTTTGAATAAAAAATTTCATACCTCAAGAATCAAAGCACATCCTGCTATTACATGACTTACAACAGGGTATGGATCAAATCGCTCGGGTAAATCACCCAGCAAATTAGATAGTCTAAAAAATACTTAAAAATATCAGATAAAGAAAAATAGATAAAGAAAAAGTCATAACTTGCATGCTAAAAAATCAAACACCTGCTTCAAAACCTTTTTTTTAATAACATAAAAGTAATATTATTGCAACAAAAATCACAATATTTTGATTGATGGATGAAAGCACCCACTATTATAGAACTCTAAATGTCAGTGAATCAAATTTCGAATTCAACTTTTATTAAATAAAATTTTTTTTATAATTAATTAAAAATAAACTTAAAAGAAATTCTAAAATATTGACAAAAATTATTTGATAAAAACATATAATAAAGTAAAACATATGCATACAGCAATAAAAAAGATTAAAAAAAACAAAATCAAAAAATATTTTACTTACGTTTTGATAGAAGATATAGTCAGATTTCCATTAGCACAAGCCAAAATTAGTTCCTAACAACAATAAAATTTTTATTACTAATAATACTACAATAATAATTATAACAATAATACTAATAATATTATAAATGACACTAGCTACAACATTTGTTAACAGGATATTAAACTTATAAACACATATTGTATTTTAAGGTTTAACTCAATAAAAAAAAAAATCTTGTCTTTTAACGAGATAAAAAAATCTTGTGCTGAATTTTCTAGTTTGTAGATAGTATACTAAGTAATGTTTTGTTTAATAACACTAAAATATTGAACATGATCAAAAACTTTTCTTTCATAAGACTTAATTCAAATTTAAAATAATTTTTGCTTTGTTTTTAATGCTCATCTTGACTTAATTTTAAATAATTTTTGTTTTGTTTTTTCTTGGTCATCTTGAACTGAATAACAATGAGAATAAAAGAAAACTTTAAAAAAAATGAATCAGACGACTATTTTGATCATCTGATCAAATTGTAATCATTATTGAAGTCAATAATTAAACTTTGAATAATTAAAATAATCAAAAATGGAATGGAATAATTAAAATAATCAAAAATGGAATGAAATAATTAAAATAATCAAAAATGGAATGAAATAATTAAAATAATTAATAACTTACTTTTGTAGACCACCAATCAACCTCAACAATCGTGTGAGAATCATCTCCTGATGTAGCTGAAAAAAATAAAAAACTTATATAATAATTTAATCAAAATTTAGTTGTTTTTTTTAAAACTGAGCCTGCTTCTAATTTCTAACCTTAACTAAAATTTGTTAAAATTTATGAAACAATGTAACATTTTATCTAACACCTGATGGTTTTTATAATCAATTGATTTCTATAATCTTACAAGTTCTTACTATGTTACAATTGTTTACTACAATGTTACATTTGTTTACTATGATGTTATAACTTTGCTGCTGATTGAGTAATTATTTAATGAATAAACTCAATCACATACTTCTTGTTAAATTTAAAAAATTAAAAATCAAAATTAAAAAAAAGTTTGTTAAATTTTGAATAGTAATAATGATTGGTAAAGTCATTATTCTTGACCAATCAACATTACTACCTTGACAGGAAACTAGAGTTTATGTTCTGGTGAAAATATAATTGCTTTCTGAATCACTTGTCATTAAAGTAGATTCATGTAAAAAAATAAATAACAGAACAATTATTTTAATACCTACCTTTTTCTAAAGTACACATACCTAGATTTTTAAGGCTGGAGCTCCTATGGACTTTTCCACTTATTGGCTAACAACAATAATTATAAAAAAAAGTCATAAAATATTAATGTATAAATGATGTTAATTATTGTGTTATATATACATATATATATATATATATATATATATATATATATATATATATATATATATATATATATATATATATATATATATATATATATATACAAATACAAATATAAAAATATATATGTATTTAAAAGTATATATTATATAATAATAATAATATATATATAATAATATATATATAATATATATACATTATTATTATATATACATTATATATGATTGTAACTATTTTAGTTTAAATTTTAGGTAAAACGGACGCTTTATTAAAATTCTAAAATAATTAAATTAAAAAAGAAAAGAATGTTTTAATTTAGTTATTGATTAAAAACTAAAAAAACGGCAAAACAAACATATTATCTAAATTTAAACTAAAATAGTTACAATCAAAGCAAGAAAAAAGTACTTAAATAAAATAATTAAACTAAAAATATAAAAAAGATTATTTTAAATAAAATAATTAAAACTAAAAACATAATTTTTTTTTTTTTATAATTGTTTGGAATTATTTAATAATTAATTTAAATCAAAACAAAATAAAAAACTGGAAAAACAAACATTTAAAATTCCTAATAAAATAATTAAAATTTACATTTTATTTAAATTTTAAACAAAACAATTAAAATAAAAGCAGAATAAAGTATGTTATTTTAATTCATAAAGAAAATTGTTAAAACAAAAAAAGTAAAACAAACATTTTATCTAAATTTTAAACAAATTAATTAAAAAACAATACAGCGAGCCAAACATTTAAAATCTTAACATATGATTAAAAGAAAAAAGAAAAACTGACATTTTAATGAAATTCCAAAATAAATTATACAAAAAAATAAGGAAAAACAAACTTTTTTTTTTGGAATTCCTAATAAAATAATTTAAAAAAAAGCAGAAAAAAACTTTTTATTCAAATTCCTTTTTTAATTAAAAAAAAAAAAAATTAAATTAAAAACAGAAAAACTAATTTATAATAAAATAAATAAAAAGGTTTTAGGTCTGCAATTTTTTACCGGCCTTAATTTTCCTAATTCCGAGGGCTATATATATATATATATATATATATATATATATATATATATATATATATATATATATGTATATATATATATACTTATTGTGTTATTTTTATTTACATTATTATTTTTATTTATACATTTATATAAATATTTACATAAATGTTAGATTTTTAAAGAGTTACTTATCGACCATATTACTTTTATTTGGGTTATAGATTTTATAGAAGGTTATACAGTGCAGATTTATGACCTCATTGGTATATGAGCTTTAAAATCAGCTTTTGAAAGTTGTTGATCAAAATCTATTTGTAGATGTAGGTGATCGTGGAGGAAGAGGTGGTTTTGGTAAAGGTGGTTTTGGCAGAGGTGGATTTGGTAGGGGCGAAATGGCATTTCAAAGGTATTTTATTTTTATTTGCATTTGTTAGTTTGTTTTTATTGAAATATTCAAATAACATTTCTTACTAATTGCTATAATTTTAATTTAAATTTTAAAATTTTGAAAATTTTTATCATGTCTTTTCATTCAAAAAAACCATTACATGCAAAAAATTTACGGTTAAACAAAAAAAAAAATTATCTGAAAAAAATTTATTTATAAGTATTTATTATTTATTAGTGTTTTTTGAAATAAAAAAAAATACTTTAATTGAATCTATTTCTACCTTGGTTAAATTTAAATTATAAAATTGTTTAAAACATAATTATAACCTCGTTATCTAAATTACAATAAAATAAATTTTAATAAGTTTCTAAATTAAATTTATTCAATCAACTATACTTCAACAAATCCCAAAAGGAAATCTCAGATAAAGAAAAAGGCTCTCATTGTCAGGTCATTGCGTTTATCAAACAGGAAAAAAGCTTAAAAGCTGAGAAGCTCACCAGGTTTGATCAATAATTTCATAAATGATCAAACAAATTATTGCACAAAGCATTGAAGTGATAGAAGACTGATGAGCTTACCAACTGCAAGAAATAATGCATTTGTAAATTTGATAAATATCAAACATATGACAAATATGACAACTATCTTCACCAGCAAAAAAATTCAAGAAAAATATTGGAATGGTCAGCACTCTCACTGTATAAAGATCAAACATATGACAAACATGACAACTATCCAATGGTTCACCAGAAAATTCAAGTATTGGAATGGCCAGCGCTCTCACTGGATATAAATCCCATCAAAAATATATGGGGCTTCTAAGCAAGATGTATTTATGCAGAAGGGAAACAATATTTAAATGTAGATGAATTAAAAAATACAATTGTACATGTATGGAAGAACATATCTCTTGCTGATCTTAGAAAACATTTAGAAAGTATGCAAAATTGAATATTTGAGGTCATTAAGAACTGCGGCAATAAAACATAGTATTGATAAAAAATTCAAATTAAAATACAAAACATTAAAAGTTCTGTTGAACAAAGTTGAAATGAGAATATAACCTTGCACCATCATTTTTTAAATCAATTAATAAAATAAAATATGAATCAAGTTAGATGCTTAGCAGTTGAATAATTTAGTAATGATCATTTATTTATATGCAAAATCTTAAATATTTGGTAATTGTATAAATTTGCACCGCATTGTATATAAAAGTATTCTTCTACATAATAATTAACTGCCAAATGAAAAACCCAGATAAAACATCTTTGTAACTCGAAAAAACTTTTTTTTAATATTGACGTCATTTAATAGCCACAAAAGCACATTAATCAGACCATTTAAAAAAAATAATAATCAAAAACTAGAACTTACCTTCAAGAGAAAAAAAAAGTTGCAAAAAATATGAACTTTTTTGTTAATATTATAATTTGAAAATAATTTGTTTTTAAAAGTGCCAACATGTCTTGGCACTTGGCTATCCTTATATAAATGTTTCAAGGCCTAGTGGGCCACTACAGTTGAGGAGGCTGCTTTTTGAGGTTGCAACTCTCTCTCAACTCTAAAAAAAGAACATTGATGAACAAGGGCACTGTGCAATTTAAAAAGTTAAGTGTGGTACTACCAAATGAACTCTTGAAGCTGCTGCTCTTATCTGCATAGTCCATTTTAAAATATCCAATATTAAAACTCCTAAATCTCTTTTTAAGTTTGTTATATATAATTTTATCTTATTATCATTATCATTTATGTAATAATCTAAGTTTTAATTGTGTTTACTAAAAAGAATTATTTTACATTTATCACTACTGAAGTCCATTTTCCATTTATTTGTTTATTCTTCAAACTTATTAATATCATTTTGCATAAGATTGCAATCAATAGCATAAAATTTTGTAGAGTTAATTATATACTTCAGTAAATTATTTATAAAAATAAAAATAGTAATGGACCTAATATTAATCCTGAACTATTCCACTTACAGCAATTTGCCATGATGAAGAGGGACTGCCTAAGAACACTCTTTCTTTACTTTTAGATTAGATTGACCTAATTCAGTTGATTAAACTAACTTTAATGGCGTAGGATAATAATTTTAATAACAAATGTTTCTGTGAAACACAGTCAAAATATGCTATATGCATTACATATAGAGATTACTCGCTGCATGCATTACCTTTAATGCATACAGCGAGCTGTAAACACACCATATAATCCACTATAAATTTTTTAACAGGACCAAGATTTTCCGACTTTTTTTTCACTTAAATAGTTTACCTTTTGAATCCTTTAAAAAACTATATCATGCAAGAAAATCTTTAACTTTTAAGAACAATAAAACCTGAATATAAAAGATAGGTCTATTTTACTATGGGGGCTAGTTCATTCCATACTTTTCAACTTTCATTAAAAAACTCAGTCCTTGTGACTTCTGACCTTGATTTTTCAAAAGTTAATTGAAATTTTTATAATTTCTAGAATTTTATTAACAGCAAGTCCCCTTTGTTTTGGTTACAAAGTATGTTTGCAATAAGATTTTAAAATGAGACTGACTATTGTACATACTTTGCAATAACATTTTCATCAGCAGTTTGATAAGGGTTAGTTGGTTCATAATGTGTTCTTCTATCTTAAAATCAAGACCTAAGTCCTATCTTAAAGCCAAAATCTAAAGACATCGGCATAAAGCCAAGACCTAAAGGCATCCGCTTAAAGCCAAGACCTAAAGGCATCGGCTTAAAGCCAAGACCTAAAGGCATCGGCTTAAAGCCAAGACCTAAAGGCATCAGCTTAAAGCCAAGACCTGAAGGCATCAGCTTAAAGCCAAGACAAATGACCAACTCATTTATATTCAATGTAATCTTAAATTTTCAATTATCTCAACATAAAATTAAATTCAACAATTCATTTTAAGAGGATTACAAACCTAATAATCAACTTAAGTACCTTAGTATCTTCATTTTGATTTAAATCATCTAACATCTGATTTAAATCATCTAAATCCAAAATTTTAATTTTTTAAATAGCTTTACATTATTAACATTATTTGATGGCTGATGATTGATGACATGCTTAAAATTCTGAGTTCAATAATTTTATATAAATAAATGCATATACATATAACTATAAAAACACATTTAAATTTGCAATCTGACGCCATACTAAAATATTGATTTTGCCTTCTGATGAGCTGCATAGGCTTCAGTACACTGACTGATATAACGAGAACATGCAAGGGAACTGCTGCTATACAAACTGAGGGTTTGATTCGGGGTAGCAATATGTTTTTTTCATTATTTTTAAAACAAAACCTGTATGGATTTAGATAAGCAAAAAAAGTAGGTAAATGTATTATACTTATATGCACTATAGTGAATTATATATATATATATATATATATATATATATATATATATATATATATATATATATATATATATATATATATATATATATATATATATATATATAATAATGTCAATTATTTTAAATATATCAAAAATAAACCTGCTCAGATTTATTCCATGTACTTATTAATTTCATAGATGGGACTTGCCAAAGACTTATTCTACCATTTAAATGAAGTGAGACAAGTGTGGAGGAATCAGATGATAAACAAATTTTGTATATGCTATCCTTTAACAAAATAAATCTAATATAAAGAAATACTTTTAATACACAAAATATATTTAATAAACAAATAAAATAAAAAAAGTTGTCCTATAAGAAAGCATAAGATTTCTTCACTTCTATGTAAAGCTATTTTCTCCATTTTTGAATTTGTTTCAAGAGTTAAAAACACTCTTTACAACTCATGTTTATTATTAAACTTTCTCATATTTATAACTTTCATATATTTATAACTTTCTAAATAAGATCAAGATTTGGAAAACAATTTTTAAATGTTTATAACTAGTTATTAGTTAATTCATTATAATATATTACCAATAATAATTTAATATAATATATTATATCTAAAATTTAATATAACGTATATTACCAATAAATAATTTTGTTGACGAGATTTCCTAATGCGTGCAAGCATTTGGATTAACTCTTTACGAGAAACCTGAAAGAGAATATCTCTATAAAAATAATATTGAAAACATAAAATGTATATAAATAAATACACAAAAGTACACAAAAATAAGATCAAATTATAAACTTTTTTTAAATAAATAAAAAAGATATTTATATAAGATATTTTATAAAGATAATATATTTTTATGATTTTTAATAATATAATTTTATTTATCACCAATTCAATCCAAGATTCTAATGAAAAATCATAACAGTATATTGTAATAATATATCAAGTTACATGGATCGATAGCCAAATCATAAGCTTATCATTAACTACAAAGCATAAGAGTATCAAAACATTCATTAAAAATAATTCATGTGGTAACTATTTTAGACAGTGGTTTGCTTTGAACTTGATAATAAAACTTTGTTTTGAACTCGGTAAATGACATTTACAACACTGTCTAGAATAGTACTCAAAACTTTAGCAATGCAGTTACTAAAAAAGTTATAGCAAAGTTGGCACCTGTTATCAATTTCATAAGGATAAAAATCCAATCCCCATAGTAAGGGGTAGGGGTTAGAACTTAGTCAAATTAATTACTTGATGATTTTATTTTGTAGTACAAGTCAACTCAATACTTTTATAGCAATTGTAAAAAAATTTTTTTGTTTTCGTTACATTTTACGTTTTTGTTAACTCATCATTAGCAGGGTTGCAAAAACCCGGGTTTTTGAGCAAAAACTTGGGTTTTTGGGTTTTTAGTTAAGTTGCGTACAAATCTTTAGTAACAAAGTTTGATAAATTTATAGTTATTTAAAATTTAAATAGTTATCTAAAGTTATTAAAAATTTAAAGTTATATTTTCTTATACAAAAGCCTAATTTATAATCAGATTGCATTTTTTTCTAATATAAATTTATTGTTAAACTGAGTTATCTTTTTAGTCAAATTTAAAATAGAATTGAATTATACGTCTTTATTTGACATTAACATGTCAAAGTATCAATTAGAGAGAAGAAACTAGGCTAGTGGGTAGAATGAAGTGACCATATTAAGTAATCAACCAAGTACAGTAATATGTAATTATTGCAAAGAGAGCATAATTAAAAAAGCAGTGAGAGTTAAGATCCATTTTGATAAATTCAGAAGTAAGAAAAAAGGAAACGCTAAAAATTCTGCAGTTTAGCAATAGCAAATTAGCAATACATCAGTTTTAGAGTCAAGACCATCTACATCTGCAGCATCAAACAAGTCTAACCAGTCAGAAGATAATGATCAAGATAACTTAAGCTTTATTAGTAAATCTTCGTCAATTGTTCATTTAACTGCAATGATGGTGCAACAGTAAACATCAGTTTCTAAATTTGTTACTTCAACAACAAGTAATCAGAAGAATGAACTGGATTTGCAGGTTAAAAGGTTTCTTTTTTTCAAAAAATATATCATTTAACATAGTAAAAAAACTTGACTTGACTACCTATAGAAAAGAAAATAGATATCTTCAGAACTCTTATTAAAGGTAAACAAAGAAATAATCAATATAATGAAATGTGATCTTGATAATGATTGTGCTGTTATCCTAATTCAAGATGATTGGAATACATTTAGAAATGATTTTATATTTACTCAGAGTATCTAAGAAGATAAAAAGATGATATTTTACAGAGGTTTAAGAAAACAATTCTTCCATATCATTTTCTGGCCAATTTAACAGATCCAAAATGTAAAGGTAACCATAAAATTGTAAAAAAATTAAAAACTTGCGTCTGATCAAATTAAAATAAATACTGATAAAAAATTTTCTTTTAAGTTTACTACTCTTTTAACTGTTTTTAACAGAAATTTTTATTTAGAAAGAGAATTATCAAAGAACCTTTTATTTAGAAAAACCTTTTATTTAGAAAAACCTTTTATTTAGAAAAAGAATTATCAAAGAACCTTTGATAGAAGTAAAGAAGAAGAAGCTAAGAAATGGTTAAATGATTCAAAAAATGATGAAATGAAACAAAAAAATAATGTGATGTGGTAACTATATTAAATGCTTGTTTAGTTTTTCTTTGAAACTGACAATAATAGAAGCATTCATAATCTTATATAGCAAAGCCTTCTATGTATTGCAACATAAATGCTGAAAAAGTAACTAAAAAAAATTCAACTAGACAGCTACTATCAGTTTTGCAAAGAATTTGTTTGCCATTTTGAACATTTAGTTAAGATTCCCACATTTTCTTTCTTTAAGTTTATTTCTTAGCCTCTTGTCTAACTTTAGTTTAATATCATGTTTCTTATCATGTAGCCGATTTTAGTACATCACCTTATTGCCCTTATGTCGTGTATTATACAAAATTTCAATTCAAGTTAATCAATTGCATTAATGCTTTTTGATGCTTCAAGATGAGGACACAAGACAATAATAGCATTGATGAACACAAATAGTAAATAAAAACTTTCAAATTTTTACTTTTCTGCTAGCAAAGGTGTTTTAAAATACCTAAAATTATTTGCCTAGACAGCAATGGTGAATGGTTGACTCTTTTTTCAAGTTTTCTTTTTTAAATGTTGTTAACTCAAGTTGGATCTTTTGATATCACAATATAAATACTATTTATCACAATGACCGGTTGAAATTTTGACAATTTTAAATTGAGTTTTTTCAAAAACCACTTAATCAATTGTTATGATTTTTTTTATATAAATAATGCTATAATAGTTTTTTGTGTGTTTTTTTTACTCATCATCAGTTTTTTTTACTCCTCATTAGTTTTTGCAATGTCGAGTAAAGAGCCAGAAAATCGAAATAAAAATTGAAATTTTACATAGAAAATCCATCGTTCTCATATTGATGATTTCAAAAGCATGTAAAGCTCCAAAATTAACTGTTGGAATTATTATAAAATGTTACAAGGAAAAACTGTAAAATAAAATCAGGAAGTAATGGAAAATCAAGATTTCTTTCTAAAAAGAAGGCAAAATCAATTCATCAAAATCCGACTACTCAATTCATTCTACTCAATTCATCAAAATCCGACTCAGTCACAACAAGATTTAGCTACAAAGTTTAAATGTAATAAAGCTTTCATTCAAAGAGTATTCAAAAAAGAAAATCTGAAAGAACATTACAAGAAAAAAATACCAAAAGGTCGCTTGATGGAAAAATCAAAGCAATTGGATGAGCTAAAAATTTGTTTAAATTAATTACAAAAAAAAAATTTACGCATTTTAGAGGCAGATAAAACTTAATGTAAAAAAGATCACTCTATGCTTCCAGGTAATCAATACTATTATCAGTCAAAATGTTATAAAACTTTTGACAAATCTAAGTACATTTGAGTAAAAAAATCAGTTTCAAGTTCCTTGTATGGCACGCAATTTGCAGTTGAGGTTTTAAAAGCTCTTCTTTTATAACAAATCAATCTTTGACACCAGATCTATATGTGAGGTAATGATTGAAAAGCGACTTCTTTCTCTAAATAAAAAAGCGTAAATAATCAACCTTATTTTGGCCAGGTCTGGTATCAATTCACTATTCCAAAAAAGTAATTCAGTGGTATAAGGAAAAAAGAGTCAACTTTGTTCCAAAGGATGTTAATCTACCAAACTGTCCTGAGCAGAGAATTTTAGCGAATCTTACTTGGCAATTGTGAAGGGAATATTGAGGAAAAGAGGCAAATGTGAAAATAGTGTTTAAAATTTCAGAGAATTATGGATTAAAAGTGTTAACATGATAGAAAATACTTACTTTACAAAAAATTAAATTACTATGTAACGTTGCAAAAAACATTAGCACATTGTAAAGTTTAGGCTATATTTATTTTTATTGAAATAAAAATTACTCATGTAAGCATCATTATGAAAAAAAAAAGATTACAATTGGTTAAGTTGTCTTTGATAAAACTTAATTTAAAATCGTCCAAATTTCAACTGTTTATATGGATTCTTTTGATATGGCAGGGCTCAATTTAATGGTCGGACATCGTTGTCCCCCATGGACTGTTTTTAACATCTGATTTATGGGGGCAACAAATCATTGTTCATTTTTTAATGAAAAAATCAACAATGATTGGTTGCCCCCATACAATGAATGGTTTGTTGCCCTCCTCTAGCAGGTCTCAAGAATGGTCAAAGAGGTGGCGATGTTTGACCATTAAATTGAGCCCTGATATCACTATATAAATATTATTTATTAATATTATTATATTACTTATTAAAAACTACTTATTGTAGTTATTAATTAACTATTTTCATGAAATAAATAAGCCTAATAAATAAATAAATAAATATATATATATATATATATATATCTAAAAATTTATATATATATATATATATATATATATATATATATATATATAATATATATATATATATATATATAAATAAATTTTTAGATATTTATATATATATAATATATATATATATATATATATATATATATATATATATATATATATATATATATATATATATATATATATATATTTATATATATATATATAATTAAAAACGAAAAAAGAAAAACCTTTTATTATGGAGCTTTAAGTTTTATGCCTAACAGCAATCATCAGCCATATATTACAAAATTTAAAATAGACGTTAAAATTACAATTAAAATTACGGTGGCGTGAGTTCTAATGACTCCATGGAAACAAAACTTTAAGTTTTAAGAGTATCACGTGGCATAAAAGTGACGTAAACTAATCAGGATCAATCTGCGGTATCATAGGAGGAAATAAGAAATTTATTTTTGTGCCTACACTTTATTTCAGATTATTTCACTCCTTGTGTTAAGTAGGTTTTTACCTTTATACATTAGAATTTGAAACTTCTCGTTCAAACAGGTTGCACACTCTTGATGCTGGGTTGTATGGTTTGCAATGTTTAACAATTTTCCATCTGACAAAAAGTGTAAAGTTTTTTTCTTTTAATTTCCATATTTCTTAAGATAACTCTGTATTATTTTTATATCTAATTGAATTAAAAGATTTGAGGTGGTTTGCATATCGAACTTTAAAAGATGTCTCGCTGAGTCCAAAATACACTTTTTCTTTGTACTCCGGATTGTTTGAACAAACGGTGGCTTGATAAACAATGTTGTTATAAAGATAATGGTTGTTCATCGGACATTTGGATTTATCAATGCAGTTGCATGTCTTTTCATTAACTTTTGCTTCCTCATGTAACGTGTTTTTATTGTGAGAGTTGATAATGGATTTTATGTTTGGCATGCATGAATAACTTATTTTTGGTATTTTTATTTTACATCAAATCTCGCAGTTTTATGATAAAAATAATTTCGGTATATATCGAGATGACGGATTAGCTGTTTTTTATATGTGTATGTTTAGTGGTGAACACACCACTAAACATACACATATAAAACTTGTGTGATGTTAGACAGTAAACAGACTACATATAAAACTTATAAGTACCTTATTAGGTAAAAATGAAAAGAAAGACTTTTAGGCTAATTTACCTAATATTTTATACCATGACTATAAATTTTGTAACATTTTTTCTTATCCATTCACTGTTCCACCCCTCCACATTAATTTGACTTGCTTAGTTAACATGTTTAGATTAACAAGTTATAAGAGTTGTTTGACTTGTCAACACAATGCACAAGTTGATTATTTTATAAAAAAAATATTATTATGTGATAAACAATCAAACCAATTTATTGTTTTAAGCTTTAAAATCAAATTTTGTAAAATCAAAGTTTGTATTGTGTTGCAAATGATCTAAAATGATACAAACACTTGCATTTTATCTTATTTTCTTTCCATATAGTAAATAACAAAAAGATACAATGTTGCTCCAATGGAAACCTTGTACTGCATCTTGAATTAAAAAACTGTAATTTTCAGCAAAATCTAGTAATACTAAAATATGATTACTTGGTAATGTTTTTTTTAGATGCTGCAAATATGCTGCTTGATTTTTGGCTATATAATGGTGGTCTAATATCCGCAAAAAATCTGGAATGCATTTTCCTTTATATTCCTCCTAATTTTGATTTTAGCTGAATTGTTTCTATTTTTTTTTTCAAATTTTTATTTATTTTTCTGAGTGATGAGTGAAAAAGCTTAAAAAACAAATATATAACGAAAATTTATACCTAAACTTGTATGTATAGAAAACAAAAATTTTTTAAAAATATTCGGAATTCCGGTAATATCCGGAAAAGGATAATCCTTGATTGGTAGAAAAAAGAAAGAAATACAACCTTACAACAATGGGAGAGTGGCTCAAGCTTGGTAGATAAAGCAGGTCTTTTTTATTTTTTAATTTTTTATATATGTTAATTAACCTCCCCAATGCTGAAAATGCCACTACAGATGAGGAAGCTACTTTATTGTGGTTAAAACCTTCTCTCAACTATATAACTCCGAAACACAAACCTTGATAACCAAGGCTGCTGCACAGAGAAACACATTGAGCGCAGTACTACTAGGGACTTGAGTGGGATCAAACTTGGTACCTCTTGCTTAAAACGCATGCGCTCTACCACTACACCACAACCGCATTACATTTACAATGTGCTCTTTAGACTTTATCTGAGAGTAAGAGAGTTGTTATTCATCAATATAGGTATACCAACATTATTGCAACATTTTTTTGCAGTAAATAAATAAGTTTTGTTGTCTGACAAAAATTGCAGATTTTCAGTCCAAAATTTAAATGCATAAACCACAGCAAGCCTTACATAGGTGTATAGGTCTCCTGTAACAGCCTAAGCTTAGGCTGACTAGCTAGGCAGAATAACTTACCTTACTTAGGCTGTTACAGGAGATCAGATTAAAAATCAGCTGCTTGTTCTAGGCAATCAAAAAGTGAAGATTTTTTGTCAAGACAAGAGTATAAAGTTGAGTCATCAACAAATAGAGCCACTTTAGATGCTAAATTTAGATAAGAAACAATACAGGAGCAAAGATTTAAGGGTACCACAAGATACCTTGTGGTACCATTAAGCACTTTAAGTTATTTGAAATAAAGAAGAGTGTAGGCCTTCAAGAATAACTTTATTACTGTAGTTAGTAAGAAATAATTTAATAATCTTAAAACCTTTATATAAAGAAACTAATAACATAGTGAAAACTAATCGTAGGATAGTTGGAGAGGTCAATTTATATTATAAACACATTATCAATTAAATAGTATTTATAAAAAAAAAAAAAACTTCAGGGGTTCCTCAAGGTTCAATCCTTGGCCCTATACTGTTTTTAATTTACATTAACAATCTTACAGATATTCTCATATCTAAAGTGGCATTGTTCACTGATCATACTACCATTTATTCTTGTCTTGATAAGAAGCCAACTCTCTCTAATTGCTTGGAGGGGGCATTTGAGCTTGAAAAGAATCTTACTTCTGCTACAGCGTGGGGCTCACAGTGGCTGGTGAACTTTAATTCAGAAAAAACCCAATTTTTTTCAGCTAATCGTTATCACAACAATTTAGATCTTCCTTTAATTATAAATGGTAATGTACTTGATGAGTCATCTACCCTTCATCTTTTAAGATTAATTCTTACATTCGGTCTCTCTTGGAAACCATATATTGAATTGATTTCATGACTTACATCTGCTAAGGTTGCATCTCTTTATTGAGCTCGACACTTTCTTACTCTGGATTCTATCCCTTTTCTCTATAAATCTCAAATCCGTCCTTGTATGGAGTACTGTTACCTTATCTGGATCTTCCAATGATGCCCTTTCTCTTTTAGACAAAGTACAAAAATGCATTTTAAGCATAGATGAACCTACTCTTGCATATATCATTATATTCACATTTTTGTAATGTTGCTTCTCTTTTTCTTTTCTACAAATAATGGGCACTGCTCTAAAGAAATAGCGATTCTTGTACCATCTACTAAAATTTATTCTTGTGTTTCTTATCATTCAATTAAGTCTCATCCTTTTACTGTGACTATTCCTAAGTGCTCCAAAAACTCTTATTTGTCTAGTTTTTTTTCCTCAAACATCAGTTCTCTGGAATTTGTTTTCTTCATCTTGCTTTCCTGATTCATATAATTAGCAATTTTTAAATCTTCTGTCAATTGTTATCTTACTCTATAAACTTCATCTTTTCTCTTCCAGTAACCTCCAACTCTTATAGTGGTTGCTTAGTTGCTTGTTGGAAGCAAAGATGTTAAAATAAAAATAAAAATTTTCTTGAGCATTCAATATAGAATTATGCTTATTGTAGATATATCTTACGTAACAAGTTGTAAGAAATACAGCCTAAACAAAACAAAATTTGATGTAACAAATAATCAAAAAATAACATGTCCAAATATGAAATAAAACAAATACACGCAATTAACCAAAGTGTGAATACTGTATTCACTTTAGGTATGGTATTTACAGGTTAGATATTGTCAACTTAAAACTTTAAAAACTTTAAATTTTTTAAGTGTTACCAAATATTTGGCGACCAAATAATCAGCTATTCAGCGGAGAGTCAAGCCAAATAAAAATCTTATTAAAACTAGTGTTAATCCTAGGTTAACAGGGGGAAGGGGTTAGAAGTGGAAGCACATTTTCTTAACTTTTAGCTGCAGCCACTTTTTGAAGTCCATAATTTTTTACTTGTATCTTATCAGTAAAATTATAAAAATTTTGAAGACTACCATTTATAGTAACTAAAAAATATGTTTTTCATTTTTTTGTATATTTCAGATTTTGTATAACTTTTTATATTTGCAAACAATTATTTAGGTTTATTAGGTAGCCATTATAAATAAAATGTGACATTCATTGTTGTTAAAAAAATATGACACTTAATGTGACACAATTTAATGTCAAAGTTTTACTAAAATAAGTCTAGAGTTGCATACAGAAAAAAACTAGAAGGTTTTCTGAAATTTTGTTTTTAAAATATAGAGCTTCAAAGTATGAACAAAACATGTTTTTGCTACTAAAGCTATTATTTTTGGAAAGAATAATAGCTTTAGTAGTTAAAATCTCTTAAAACACAAAAGATTTTATGCTGAAATTTTAGGTAGTTGCTTTTCTCATTGATACAAACCAACCCAACAAGTTTCATCAAATTCTGACGGGATCCATGTTGAACCTTGGTCTAGTTGGTCCATATATAGATAAAAATCAATTAACTTTAAAATAGTTATTAAATGCATTTTAAAATAAAAAATTAAAACCTTAGTAAAAGCCTTTCCTCTATCTTCTATAAAAGTCAGAAAAGGATGATCACTGACAAATCGCCACAAGCTTATGGCACAGTGTGAGCCATAGCATAATCCTATATAAAACAATTTTTGAAAAATCACCAAAATAAAATTCTTACAAGTTGAGTTAATTTGTTAAAACAACATTTACAAACGTTTATAACAAATTTGCACACTAATTATTAAATTTAGTTATAATTATTTTATTTCTTTTAATATTACTCATAAGTAATCTCATATTCATTTTATTATTTACTCATAATTAAGTAAAAATCAATAACTAATAATATTCAACATAATTATTCAAGTCTATAGAAATGTATTAAGGTTAAAATCAAAAAGATTAAAAACCAAAATTTGAAAAAAAAAAAGAAAAAAAAAAGGAAATAGTTGAAATGAACTTAAATCAGGTGGATTCAAGTAATTTGAATAAGTTTAAACTGAAAAATTAAAATAGGCTTAAGAGTAAAGAAATAGATAATACAAAAACAATAGAAGTAAATATAACAGAATAAAGAAATATAATAAAATAAAAAGATAACAGAAATAGATAACAGAAACAAACTTGGAAAAAAAAAAATTTTTCCATTGAAATTACCTTGGTTAGATTCATAGGGTTCTTTTCCGTAACACCCAGCCACAATCAAAATATTTGCTTTAGGATCATAAACTGCTGATGCTATCCCATATGGATGATAAGAAGTAAATGAAAAAGAAAACTTTTCCTCATAATTTACAGCTTCACTAGTATATAAAAACAAAACTATGATGACGGCAATATTCAAATATTCTAAGATGATAAAAATGTATAATATCAAAATTTCAGTTAAATGCAGTTCTCTCAGCCCTCCCCCCCCCCCTAAGTTTTTTAAAAACATTAAGCAATAATTAATTGTTGTTAAAAACATTTTCACCATAATTGTGAATTTTTTTTTTTTTTTAAAAAAAAAGCAGATTATAAATTTTTTTCTACTCACCATTTTTTTTATTTTATTATATTTAAATTAAAATTTAATATTAAATATTATAAAACTTAAATTTATTTTCTTAAATTTAAAATGCTCTGTTTTACAAATTTTTTTTTTATATTCGTATTTTGTTAAATTATTTGTATTATGAAAAGAAATAAGAAAAGAAAGTTCTAAGAAAAGAAAATTTTTTTTATCCAATTTAATTTAAATTGTTTAAATTGTGTTTGTTTTACATTCATTTTTCATTAAATTTTTTCATTAAATCATTCATTTTTTTATTAAACTATGACAAATTTTTGAAAATATGATTTTTTAGTTTTAAAAATGCTTTTAAACAAAAAAAATTTTCATTATTATTAATTTTCTAGATTGATCATAAAATAAACATATATTAGAAATGATTAACTAGTTTATGAGTAGTTTGCAGAAATTTTGATAAAGTGGAAATGTCAAGAAAAAATGTTGATAGTTTTTTTATTTATTTTTTGACCATAAAGAAATTTATCCATAGCAATCGCCCTCTCATTTAAAATTAAAAAAAAACTAAATTGTGAGAAAGAAAACGTAAGACGATAATGTTGTGCTATAAATGTTTTAAGAAATAAATAACTTTAAATAAGTTTAAGTTTTTTAAAATAAGGAAATTATTTTTTTAAACAAAATAATGAAATTTCATTGATAATTTTTTTTTTTTTATAACAATATTGTTTAAAGATATTTTATAAATATTTTTATTATAAGATAAAGACTTTAAATGATCTTTAACCTAGTTTCAAATAAAATTTAAAAAAGGCAACTAATGCAATTCAACTTTTAACAATGTAAATATTTATATTGAGTAAAGTTACATTTACATGCGTTACGCTTTTCTGTTATGCAACAAAATCTCATAACAATGCCTGTACATACATACAAACATACATAGATACAAATGTACATACATACATATTTCACAATGTTTTTAACTAAATCAAACAAACCTAATGTTATAAACTTTTAAATTCCCTTGATAACTCATGACAAACAGTAGGTCAGTCCTAAAAAACAAGAAAATAGAGTTTTTTTAAAAACTTTTCACAGTTGATTTAATTTTTTTTCTGTTTATTTAAAAATAAAATTTAAAATAAAATTTTGTAATCTAAACCAATCATAAACTTAAAAATCTAAACAGTACAAGACATCTATAATATAAAAAATATCTATATGTTTTTTGCTTTTTTCAGATTAATTTAAAGTTCTTTATATTTGACTACCATTGTTCTTCTTCTGAAGGTATAAAAAATAAACAGCTTATAGCATTTCGTAGATTACCAGGGAGATGAGCACCACCATTCTAAATTATAAAAAAGTAAACAAAAACAAAAATAAATTAAGTGATACAGTAAACTTAGAATCCATAGTAGATAGAAATAACATAGTACACAAGTTGTATCTTTTTATAAGTTTTTTTTTTTTACTATTCATAATTTTAAGCATCAATAAAATTTTTGACCATTTTAAAATATGCAAAAAAACCGTCCCAAAGATCTGGAAATATTTGCTAACTTATTGGACATAGCAGTAAACAACCTCAAAAAAGAGCTTGGTAATGGGACATAATATAAAAAACCTTCAGTGAAAGCTATCTAAAAAAAAACCGCTAGGGTATTCTTAAGAAATGTATAAATAAATTTAAATAACTTCAAAATGAGATTCTTAAGTAAAAACCTTTAACAATTTTTTAGAATTAAAATTATTAGCAGAAAAAGTAGAAACTTATTCTTTGGCTAAAAATAAACTACTAAGTTATAATTATAAATAAATGGAGATAAAAAATTGCAATCACTGGTTATATATATTTTTATAATTTAAATTCATATAAATTGATATTTCAATAGGTGTGTACTTAAATCATAATATAGAAACACTTTCAAACAATGATTAAAATGATATCTTTATGCTTAAGTTTAAAAAGATTAAAAACTTTATTTTATTTTTTAACTTTATTTTAGTTGTAGGCAAAAAAAAAATTTAATATACCTAAAGTTATGTGAGTACATGTAAGTTTATGTAAAAAAAAATAATCAAAAGTTCTTTTTTTTTTCCAGCTATTTACAAATTTTTATTATAATTTATTATTAAACTATTATTGTTTTTTTAATTTTTTCATTACTAATATTTCAAAAATTTTAAAAATATATAAATAAAAAGACATACATGATGCAATACACATTTCTCTGTGCCTGTAAGATCAAAAATATGTACATCACCATAGCTGCAAAAAGAATAAAAAAAAATTGTATTTACTGCCTTTAAATAAATTTTAAAACTAATTAAGTTAATTAAATGTTTTAACTACACATAAATAACAAACAAAATATATTTAAACAAACAACATATAATTAATATGTATATAATAACAATAATAGTAGCAATGATAATAAATTAATATTATGAGCTCATATAATAAATTACTATAAACTGTATTAATTTCAATTTTATATATATACATATATTTATTTCGAACATCGCATTAGCAATAAATTTGTAAAAATTTTAATAAAAATCACAACATTTTTTATTATTGACATGTTTCGTAGTCTTACTACATTTTCAAAAGATTTAATTTTCAATTAAAACTCTGGTATTATTTCCTCATTTATCCTTGTTGTCAAATGTCTGGAGGTTTCTCCGATATAACTGGCGTTACAATCTTTTTTTTTTTTTATAAAATTATGATTATTTTAAAATTTTTTATATAATTTCATTTCTTTAAATACCCAACATGATATACATTTAAAGAATTTTTTTTTTTTGATAATTATAGGGACCTGTTTGATATTTAAGGGTCTTGTAGCACCCTTGAAAAAATTCTTTATTTAAAAATTTTTTAAACCCAGTATTATTTTATTATATAGAACACATTTAGGGGTGTCAGCAGACTTGTTTAAAAACAGTTGTTTTTAGCACCACCCTAATATATATACATTAACATATATATATATATATATATATATATATATATATATATATATATATATATATATATATATATATATATATATATATATATATATATATATATATATATATAAATTATATAATAATTATATATAAATATATAATTATCAGTATAAAAAGCTTGTAATACTATGCAAAGAAAATCCCCGTTTGACAGCTGTCGATTTAAACATACAAAATGAGACGTTTCTATGGAATGAATTGCAGTATTTCTACTATAAAACGTTGTTTACGTCATGCTAATTTGTTTGGAAGACGCCCAGCTAAAAAACCATTAGTTTCCTTGAAAAACCGTAACGCCTGAATGGAATTTGCATCAAAACATCTAAAGTGTCAAAAATGGTCAAAAATTCTTTTTAGTGACGAAAGCAAATTTATGCTGTTTGGATCCGATGGAATCAGGTATGTTCGACGTTCAGTAGGTACTAGGTACAATCCTAAATACCAACTGCCTACCGTAAAACATGGAGGAAGTAATGTAATGGTTTGGGGATGTTTTAGCCGAAATGGAGTTGGTCCTCTCCATAGAATTACCGAGAATATGAATCAAGAAAAGTACAAAGATATATGTAAAACTATTATGTTACCATATGCAAAGGATAAAATGCCTCGAGGATAGATTTACAATCAGGATAACGATCCCAAACATACAGCTAAATCGGTTTTAGAGTTTTTTAAAGAGAGTAAAGTTAATGTTTTGAAGTGGCCATCCCAATTACCTGACTTAAATCCCATTGAACATCTATGGGAACATGTTGACCGTCAAATGAAAGGAATTAAGCCTACAAATTATGCTGATTTATTTAATAAAATCAAAGAATTATGGGACTTAATTCCCATTGACATTTGCATTAATTTAGTTGACTTTATGCCTCATAGATGCCAAGCTATTCTTGATTGTAAAGGATATCCTACAAAATACTAATGTGATTTTGCTTTTGCAAAAATTTTGATCAAATATTGTTGAAATATTTTAACTATTTTAAAAAATAATGCTATGTCCGCAAATTTTTGAACTTATCAAAGACCGTTGATTTGTATACCAATTTAAAAATATTATTTAGATAATAATAATTTGTTCAAAACCTAATTGTAAATTTGAAAACCTTTTAACTGGTATATAATATGTTGGCTTTAGCAAAGCATGTGCTGAAATATAATTAAAATTCCTTATTTTTTTGCCTGTCCGCAAACTTTTGGACGCTACTGTATATATATATATATATATATATATATATATATATATATATATATATATATTAATTTTATATAAAATATGTAATATATATATATATATATATATATATATATATATATATATATATATATATATATATATATATATATATATATATATATATATATATTTATATATATATATATATACATCCCTCAGAATTAGGGTCAGCATTCGACAATGCCAACCTAACTGCCGATATGAAAGTGTTTGAGGTCGGCAAAAAAATGCAGACCTTGTTTTTATGTTTTATGGTCAGACCTTTGTATCAAATAATTTTTGCCAACCTGATACTGACCTTAAAAGATTGATGTCAGCGAATTAATGCTGACCTCAATTTTTCTAATTCCGAGGGTTGTATATATATATATATATATATACAAATATTATTGCGTACTAAGGTTAGCAATCTGACGTCATACTGAAATAGCCTGCTGCTAGGGGCTTCAGTACATACATTGACTGACAAATAGCCTGACTTACAGTGGAGTGCTGCTACATCGACTGAGGGTTTGGGATGGGGAAGCAATCGTTTTATTCATCATTCTTCATTTTTTCTTCTTCTTTTTCGAAAAAAACGGTATAGCCTAAGGTAAGCAGAAAAAGTGAGCAAATGCTTATCAAAACACGCTTTAGTAAGTGTGTATATATATATATATATATATATATATATATATATATATATATATTATATATATATATATATATATATATATATATATATAATAACATAAATATATAAAATACAGCTCTAAAACTCAGTTTTATGGTTCTGAGGCTGGCTGGTAGTCAGGTTTCCCGAACTCTGTGGTAGCTCTCAGAGAGGCTGATTCCATCAACAGCTGAAAAATATCAGAGTACTAACAGTGCCATGTTGCGCATGGATGGTGTCCCTGTTTGTACTTTTGGTGTGCATTGCCAAGGCCACATTGGAGCCCTTTGTTACGGCTTAGGGTTTATTAGTGGAAATGAGGCAATTGCTTAGGCTATAAAACAGTGTACTGAGTAATATCTATGTTTCGAGTCAAGTTCTTTAACAAATTTAAAAATGAATAAAGTAACAATAACTATAAAACACAAAAAACCACAGTCATCACGAAGTTTGCTAAACTTATCATTCACCAATATTCGTGGTCTACGAAACAACTTTTCTTCTGTTGAGTCTTATCTCTTGCAAAGTTCACCAGACCTACTTGCTCTTTGTGAGACTAATTTGAGTTCAGCTGTCTCATCTTGGGATCTTAGTGGTGATGGTTATCTTCCTTTAATTCGTAAAGACTCCAATAGTCACATGCTTGACCTAGGCATTTACATTTGCAAGAATTCACCCAATTGTCGGGAAACTAGGTTTGAATCCACAGACTACTCTTTTATGTGCTTTCGTTTAGCACCACTTCAATCACCTTTCTCTTTATTCTATATCGCTCTCCTTCATCTCAAGACTGCACTCTTCTTGATGTTATTTCTGATTATATTGACCAAGCCCTCATTTTTTATCCATCAGCCAATATTGTTGTTGTCGGTAACTTTAATGTTCATCATTCTGAATGGCTTAACTCTAGTGTCAGTAACTCTGCAGGCATTAAGGCCCACAACTTTTGCCTTTCTCAATCCCTAACTCAAATAGTCAAATTTTCCAACTCGCTTTCCAGACAACCCGAATCATTTACTTTCTCTACTAGACTTATGTCTTGTTTCTAATCCTAGTCAGTGCTCAGTTTCACCACGCTCACCCTTAGGTGCTTCTGCTCATGGTTTGGTCTCTAGAAAACTATTATCTCATTCTTCTTTACCATCAGAATCCCCCTATCATCGTACATCTTACAACTACCTTAAAGCTGACTGGGACTCTTTCCGTGATTTTCTTCGTGACGGCTCCTGGGTAGAAATCTTTCGTCTTCCTGTTGACAAATGTGCTTCTTACGTAACTTCAAGAATTCAGGCTGGCATAGAATCCTTTATTCCCTCTCAATGATTTCAGGTCAAGCTTCACTCTTCTCCATGGTTTTCCTCATATTGTGCTGCTGCAATTGCCAATCGAAACCAATACTTCCATATCTATCAGCAAAACTATTCTCCTGAAAACAGACGTCTTTTATTACTGCTAGGAACCATTGTAAAAAGGTTTTGTCTAACGCCAAAGCCCGTTATTCTCAGATCATGAAATCTCGTATTTCATTACAATAACTAGGCTCTCGTGACTTCTGGAGAATCTTTAATAGCATCAATAATAAGGGCAAGTCTGTAATTCCACCTCTTTTGTACGGTTCAGACTTTGTCACCTCACCTAAAAACAAAGCTGAATTGTTTGCCAAGAACTTTTCATCAATATCATCTCTGAATTCCACTAGTTGCGTTCTACCTGATAAAGCCGTCAAACAGGTTAATCCACTGCTCGACATCCGTATCACTCCAGCTTCTGTATCTAAAGTGATTTCCTGCTTAGACTCTTCTGCAGCTTGCGAACCGGACAACATACCTATTATAGTCTTTCAGAAGTGCTCTCCGGAACTGTCGTCTATCCTTTCAAAACTATTCAACAAGTGCTTATCAGAGTCTTGTTTTCTAGCCTGCTGGAAAGCAGCATCTGTTATCCCTATTTTTAAAAATTCTGAAGACCGATCTGAATCGTCTAACTACCGTCCCATTAGTCTTCTTCCTATCATAAGCAAAGTTTTTGAATCTTTAATTAACAAACACTTAATCTCTCATCTCGAATCTCATAACCTACTTTCTGATCATCAATATGGATTTCGATCTTCTTGTTCTACGGCTGATTTGCTATCAGTAATAACCGATAGGTTTTATTGCGCATTAGATAAAGGTGGAGAGGTTAAGGCCATCGCTCTTGACATTACTAAAGCGTTTGATAAAGTTTGGCATGCTGGTCTCCTCCATAAGCTTTCTACTTACGGTGTATCTGGAAACATCTTTAAGATTATTGAATCCTTCCTTTCCAATCTTAGTATAAAAGTTGTCCTTGACGGACAGCACTCTTCTTCTTATTCTGTAACCTC